CCAAACAATGCAGAAATGTCATTGGGGTAAGGGTAGCCTCAATCAACCTTTAATCACCCACTAACTTGAAGATTTGGGCAAAAAATCTTCAATTTTTATAGAAAAAAATCATTCTTTTTGACTGATTTTACCCCAAATTTTCGTCAAAATTTCATTTTGAAAAGCACATCTGTCCACATATCGAATTGGAATGTGTTCTAGGGTCCTTTAGGCATCTTTCTAGCAAGTTTGAAGCAATTTGATTTTTTGGCCAAAATTGAAAAAAACACAAGGGGTAAGCCTTACTTTTTTATCAAAATTTGGCCAAAAAATGACTTTTAGCCAAACAATGCAGAAATGTCTTTGGAGGTAGGAGTAGCCTCAATCAACCTTTAATCACCCAATAACTTGAAGATTTGGGCAAAAAATCTTCAATTTTTATAGAAAAAAATCATTCTTTTTGACTGATTTTACCCCAAATTTTCGTCAAAATTTCATTTTGAAAAGCACGTCTGTCCACATATCGAATTGGAATGTGTTCTAAGGTCCTTTAGGCATCTTTCTAGCAAGTTTGAAACAATTTGATTTTTTGGCCAAAATTGAAAAAAAAACACAAGGGGTAAGCCTTACTTTTTTATCAAAATTTGGCCAAAAATTGACTTTTCTCCCAACAATGCAGAAATGTCTTTGGAGGTAAGAGTAGCCTCAATCAACCTTTAATCACCCACTAACTTGAGGATTTGGGCAAAAAATCTTCGATTTTTATAGAAAAAAATCATTCTTTTTGACTGATTTTACCCCAAATTTTCGTCAAAATTTCATTTTGAAAAGCACATCTGTCCACATATCGAATTGGAATGTGTTCTAGGGTCCTTTAGGCATCTTTCTAGCAAGTTTGAAGCAATTTGATTTTTTGGCCAAAATTGAAAAAAACACAAGGGGTAAGCCTTACTTTTTTATCAAAATTTGGCCAAAAATTGACTTTTCTCCAAACAATGCAGAAATGTCTTTGGAGGTAAGACTAGCCTCAATCAACCTTTAATCACCCAATAACTTGAAGATTTGGGCAAAAAATCATCGATTTTTATAGAAAAAAAATCATTCTTTTTGACTGATTTTACCCCAAATTTTCTTCCAAATTTCATTTTGAAAAGCACATCTGTCCACATATCGAATTGGAATGTGTTCTGGGGTCCTTTAGGCATCTTTCTAGCAAGTTTGAAGCAATTTGATTTTTTGGCCAAAATTGAAAAAAACACAAGGGGTAAGCCTTACTTTTTTATCAAAATTTGGCCAAAAAATGACTTTTAGCCAAACAATGCAGAAATGTCTTTGGAGGTAGGAGTAGCCTCAATCAACCTTTAATCACCCAATAACTTGAAGATTTGGGCAAAAAATCTTCAATTTTTATAGAAAAAAATCATTCTTTTTGACTGATTTTACCCCAAATTTTCGTCAAAATTTCATTTTGAAAAGCACGTCTGTCCACATATCGAATTGGAATGTGTTCTAAGGTCCTTTAGGCATCTTTCTAGCAAGTTTGAAACAATTTGATTTTTTGGCCAAAATTGAAAAAAAAACACAAGGGGTAAGCCTTACTTTTTTATCAAAATTTGGCCAAAAATTGACTTTTCTCCCAACAATGCAGAAATGTCTTTGGAGGTAAGAGTAGCCTCAATCAACCTTTAATCACCCACTAACTTGAGGATTTGGGCAAAAAATCTTCGATTTTTATAGAAAAAAATCATTCTTTTTGACTGATTTTACCCCAAATTTTCGTCAAAATTTCATTTTGAAGAGCACATCTGTCCACATATCGAATTGGAATGTGTTCTAGGGTCCTTTAGGCATCTTTCTAGCAAGTTTGAAGCAATTTGATTTTTTGGCCAAAATTGAAAAAAACACAAGGGGTAAGCCTTACTTTTTTATCAAAATTTGGCCAAAAATTGACTTTTCTCCAAACAATGCAGAAATGTCTTTGGAGGTAAGACTAGCCTCAATCAACCTTTAATCACCCAATAACTTGAAGATTTGGGCAAAAAATCATCGATTTTTATAGAAAAAAAATCATTCTTTTTGACTGATTTTACCCCAAATTTTCTTCCAAATTTCATTTTGAAAAGCACATCTGTCCACATATCGAATTGGAATGTGTTCTGGGGTCCTTTAGGCATCTTTCTAGCAAGTTTGAAGCAATTTGATTTTTTGGCCAAAATTGAAAAAAACACAAGGGGTAAGCCTTACTTTTTTATCAAAATTTGGCCAAAAATTGACTTTTCTCCAAACAATGCAGAAATGTCTTTGGAGGTAAGAGTAGCCTCAATCAACCTTTAATCACCCAATAACTTGAAGATTTGGGCAAAAAATCATCGATTTTTATAGAAAAAAAATCATTCTTTTTGACTGATTTTACCCCAAATTTTCGTCCAAATTTCATTTTGAAAAGCACATCTGTCCACATATCGAATTGGAATGTGTTCTAGGGTCCTTTAGGCATCTTTCTAGCAAGTTTGAAGCAATTTGATTTTTTGGCCAAAATTGAAAAAAACACAAGGGGTAAGCCTTACTTTTTTATCAAAATTTGGCCCAAAATTGACTTTTCTCCAAACAATGCAGAAATGTCTTTGGAGGTAAGAGAGAGTAGCCTCAATCAACCTTTAATCACCCAATAACTTGAAGATTTGGGCAAAAAATCATCGATTTTTATAGAAAAAAAATCATTCTTTTTGACGGATTTTACCCCGAATTTTCATTGAAATTTCATTTTGAAAAGCACATCTGTCCACATATCGAATTGGAATGTGTTCTGGGGTCCTTTAGGCATCTTTCTAGCAAGTTTGAAGCAATATCTGTCCAGATATCAAATTGGAATGTGTTCTAGGGTCCTTTAGGCATCTTTCTAGCAAGTTTGAAGCAATTTGATTTTTTGGCCAAAATTGAAAAAAACACAAGGGGTAAGCCTTACTTTTTTATCAAAATTTGGCCCAAAATTGACTATTCTCCCAACAATGCAGAAATGTCTGCCCAATAACTTGAAGATTTGGGCAAAAAATCATCGATTTTTATAGAAAAAAAAACACATTCTTTTTGACTGATTTTACCCCAAATTTTCGTCCAAATTTCATTTTGAAAAGCACATCTGTCCAGATATCGAATTGGAATGTGTTCTAGGGACCTTTAGGCATATCTCTAGCAAGTTTGAAGCAAATCGATTTTTTGGCCAAAATTGAAAAAAAAACAAGGGGTTAGCCTTACATTTTTATCAAAATTTGGCATTTGATTTTTTGGCTGAAATCGAAAAACAAAAAAATGCAAGGGGTTAACCTTACTCTTTTTGTCAAAAGACGACCCTGCAAGATCATTAAAATGAAAGATACAAGATTAAAACAAATCTGTAAGGCAAAAGGGACAGTATAATCTGCAAAGAATGTTCAAATTTTCACGTTTTTCATTTCATGAGAAGCGCTTAAACCTTTTATTGCACCCATTATAATGCCTCTTAGCCAACTATTGAATGAACAAAAAAAACAGTAACTGATAAAACAAATATACAAAAATCAAAGTTCTTTACATTCTCAGACAAATTCAAAGACATAATTTCACCAACGTGAGATGAACATGGATGAATTGATACAACATGTAACTTTCAAAGAAAAAAATGTTTCAACTCAACTTCTTTATACATTACTAAATGTAAAAAAGGTAAGTAAATGAGATGTCCTGTACATGACATTAATATATTTTAAATCAAATTTAACAAACAAACAACAAAATCGATTAGATTGTCTCCGAAAATCCCATTTTGCACATGTAGGCAGACTATGATCTGAGGTAATTATATCTCCGAGAAAGTCATATCGCAACAAAGGCGAACTGATAAAATGTGTATCATCTTTTCCAGCAATTGAATTGGGTAAAAACTGTCAAACTATTGGGAAGAATTTGCCCAAGAGTGTAGGCAGTTGATAATTCGACCAGCGTTGGTCGAATTAGCAACCCATTTTGCCCAACCTTTTTACAGTGTAGCATCTCTGTATTAAAACAACGCTAATTTTGTGTGGCATCTATAAACAAAAATGGGTAAAAGTGTACTTAAGGACCCTGTTCCTAGACTGTTTATGAGAATAAAAAGCCACTAATTGTATCGTTTGAGCCCATCTAAATAGCAGGCGCTGTTGAAAAGCAATTGGTACCTTGGTAATCGTGTAGTTTAGGGCATCGCACCACTTACGTTTTACAAATTCCGTTTATAAATCAAAACTCTGCCCTCTTTCTACAATAAGACAGCTGATACTAAACATCTTAACAAACTATTTTGATGATTTCAAACACACAAAGTTAGCTTGAGTAACTCCAGCTTCAAAGCTCATCAGGAATTTGACATAGAGCTGGAGCTAAAACTACGTTGTAGATACTAGATTCTAAGAGGCCCTAAAAATGGGACTCTCTGTATCTGTATCACAAAAATGGTCCTTTTTCCCTCTATTAATCCCAACCCAGATTCCATGAAACATAATGAGGTATGTTTAATGGAATCTGGTTTGGGAAACTAGAGGGAAAAAGGACCATTTTTGTGATACAGATAGTGACACAGAGAGGGTCCCGTTTTTTTTACTCTTAGAATCTAGGATCTACAGCGTAGTTTGAGCTCCAACTCTTTATGTCAAATTCCTGATGAGCATTGGAGCTGGAGTTACTCAAGCTATTAAAAAGTGAGTGACTTTTCCTGCTTGTATTATAGCCAAATGTTGAGATGTAAAGTCCCAATAAAAAAAAGGAAAGTGTGTTCGTTCTCTTATATTGGAACGGGTCCGAAACCACACCATTACCATTACCATTACCTGTAAGTCTTTGAAAGAGGGCCGTTTGGCATTTTCCCCGCAGAAGTTTCAAGCAATTTGTCCCAACTTGGGCGTTCCTGCTAGTGCTAGTGTAACACTTCAGCTACGACTGTCCTGGCCCAAGTTGGGACCGTCCCAACTGAAGTTGGGACCGATGTCTAAATTGGGCGTCACAAATCCACTAGTTTAACTAGGAAAACAACATACCACAAGAAATGAAGTTAATTGACTAAAATATTTCTCTACCCAAGTGATCAAAGCAAAGGACATATGCCAGCATATGAACAAAATAATGAAAAACATGCAGCTTTGCTTTTAACCCTGTTTGTAAAGTACACTAGAAAAGAGCTAGCAAAATCCTGCGCTGTTTAAGAAAAAGTGATAAAAACGTTTGACATTATAAACACATAGTGCAGCTGGATCGCAGCACATACATGCGATGATCAGGTACCTGGAAAGAAATTCGGACATATTCAGCCTCTATCCCGAAATCTGCGAGTCAAAAAGTCAGTCCCGTCACTTGAAATTGTGCATTTTGTGTGCTTAACACTTACTGTTCATGAGTATAATTTACAATAAGAATCAGCCTCCAAAGTATGTTTTGCAAAAAAGTCTGACCTTAAAAACCCTGACATTTGCTTAAAAAATACGAAAAAAAAAATATCATGGCGACTTCATATGTAGATAAAGCCCCATTAATATGTCTTTTATACTGGACTTCCTGGACAGCGATGTGTGCTTCGGAAGCTACTTAACTGTTTACTGCGGCCGAAAGCTTCTGAAGGAATGCGGGATCGTCCCTTATATGTCATTCCCCGATCGTTTGGTGCAACACATGATTGTGGAGGTGTGCAATGACATCAGGGGTGATCCTGCATTCCTCTCGAAGCTTTTGGCCACAGCACGCGCCTTCCGCCACTATCTCATCGCTGTATCGACAAAAAGTGACTTTTTCCTTCCACGGCGTTTAAATCTGACCCTCTTGCACAAAGCTGATGAAACTCGCTCCATGAAATTTGTAATGCTTGTTTACATGATCTGAAATTTTGGTTTAATTCCATTGATAAACAACAGAGTTATTTACGATCAAAAGTAGGACTTTTTTTTTTACACGTAGTAGCTTCAATAGCGAATATAAAGTGAAAAAAACAGTCTTTATTTCGAATTCAGGAAACACAACTTTTCAGGAAAATTTGGAGAAAATCCAGTATATTTGAGACACATTGATGGGGCTAATATAGACACCAACCCCCACAGTGGGTCTCCTACCTGCTAGTACTACCCGTCCAAATGTTCCTCAAAACAATCCAAAAAGGCACGCGTGGTATTTATATAATACTTTCTGAAAAATACTGCCTCTCTTAATATTTGTGATTATATATATTTTTTTTGTTAAATCCAAGCCTGCAAGTGCAAACTTACCATTAAATAAATCAATATTTCAATTTTTTTTTCAATTCGCACACCAATTAAAACCATTATAGCCCCTATCTTGAGTGTTCTGCTCTATATAAGTTACTACAAATGTATATAAACTTACTATACAGCAATGTTTTATCATTATATAGTTTGTACAATTTTGTGAGATAATATGGAGCTGAAATATTGATATTTATAAAATCACGCTATTTTTAGGCACTAATTAATACAAATCTTTGTGATATAAAATTGAAGGATTAAAATGCATGCGTGGTAGAAACAAAAATCAAAAAGTTTTTGAGTTGTTAATCTTGTACAAGTATTTGAAAATATAATATAGAGTACAGTGTAATTTAAGTACATGAATTGTGAATTACACAATCATTTGTTTTAAAATCAGCGTAATTAGGTGAATAGACTTGATTAAAATTTCTTGATTAAAATGTAGGCAGCTTTAAAGTCGATATCACAAAAGTGCTTAAATTTGCTCACTGAAGTTACCGTAGCAATTTTTTGTTCGCTTTTGTCACTCATATTTTTTTCCCCTTTTAGAATTTCAATTCTATAAGGGGCAAATCATTATATTGAAACTAAAATGGGACATTTTACCATTTGAAATTGATATCTAAAATTTACTTTGGAAATTTCAACTAAAATCTTCGTTGTCTGAAATTGTTTTGGTCTCAAAATATAGCAAAACATCTCCCACGTCATTCTGGGAAACAACTGAACTCCAAACCTCAAAACTGTTATTTCATTCATATAACTCGAAGGGCAGGATTTGTCTTAATTGAATCGACCAATCACAACGGCCGTCCCGTTTTGACCAACAGAATTGATTGGCCTATTGCAGCAAGGCGTGAAAAAACTCTGAACCAATCACAACGCACGTATCAAGGCCTGACCGAGCTCTGAACCAATCATAACGCGCGTTACAAAACCGTATTCATGATGTCCCTCTCATTCCACGGCGGCTGTGTGTACTGGTAGATCGGTTTCAGTAAATCTGGATTTGTCTGTGCCATCTCGTTTTCGTTGTGATCACGGCTGTCGCTAGGGTATTTTTTGCCCTCCGCGACACCGAAGCTGATATTGCTGTCTTGGTCCGACGCCCGACGCTTCCGAGACCGGCTCGAAGATCCTTTCGGTCTACCGGACGACGAATGCATTTTGCCGCTGCTGTCCGACAACGCCCTATTCATGCCTTCGTCGGAGCTGGTCGACGAGCTCCTGTTCTCGCGATGTCTGTGAGGGCGCCCGGCGCGCTTGTGTTTCTTCCGCGATCCTTTCCTAGTCGGTGCGTTGGATTTTGTCGTCGTTTCCTTGCTGGAGGAAGTTTTGGGTTGTTTTTGCGAGGATTGTCTGTTCTCCATGTGGACCAGTTTGACCTGGTAGTCGTCCAGAGCGACGTGGGAGTGTTTCTGATTGGACGGCTCCCATGGTGTACTTCTGCTGCCGCTAGGTCCCGCGAGGTCGTCCTGTAAAACGGACACAAGCATCGGTTTAAATCATGACGTAAATTCATTGCATATAATACATCTGTCATCAATATGGTAAACAGCTTTATGTGGGGGGTGTGGCTTAGGGGTTAAGGTTCTTGGCTCATGATCAGCGGGTCAGAGGTCCGAATCCAGCTGCTGCCCATATCTTGTGTCCTTGGGCAAGCCACCTTACACCCACTTGCCTCTCTCCACCCAGGAGTATATTTATCCTGGCAGTAGCAAGGGGAATAACCTACGACAGACTGCCAGCCCATCCAGGGGGAATAGAAACATTCTTGGTCGTTTCATGGCCTGATGCGCCATATTGGCTTGTGACAGGCTTCACAATTACTTGACTTTCAGCACTTGATACAAAACGTTTTAGAACAATCAGAATGGACTACCATTGTTTACTCTTTACAAAAAGTTTCATGACTGCTTTTCCACTTAAAACTGGATTGCCTTTCTTCATAAGACTTCATGTACACTTTTCAAAACTTCAAATTTTTGATGTCATTTTTACTCCTAAACAAAAAACTAACCATGTGATTTATGATCAACAATTATGTAAACAACAACAAACTATGACGACAAAACCTGAAAAAGTAAACAAGAGACAACAATGATTGCAATGTCACCAACGCAGGAAATGCAAACAAGGACACAAGGGCAATGGCCAAAGTTGCAGAGGACATGAAGAATTTTGCACCAGGGATGTAGTCGAGTCCATCACAAGCCCCTGCAAGTCCATCACAAGTCCTCCAGTCCCAATTCAACTCACAAGCTATTCAAATGAGCTTTGACATAGGCATTCCTTTGTCATTGTTCATCTACAGTTACTTGTGATGGACTTGTGATGGACTTGTGACTGGACTTGTGACTGGACTTGTGATGGACTTGTGATGGACTTGTGATGGACTTGTGACTGGACTTGCGACTGGACTTGTGATGGACTTGTGACTGGACTTGCAGGGACTTGCGACTGGACTTGTGATGGACTTGTGACTGGACTTGCAGGGACTTGTGATGGACTTGTGATGGACTTGTGACTGGACTTGCAGGGACTTGTGATGGAATTGTAATGGACTTGTGGCTGGACTTGTGATGGACTTGTGATGGACTTGTGACTGGACTTGTGATGGACTTGTGAGGGACTTGTGATGGACTTGTGATGGACTTGTGGCTGAACTTGTGACAGACTTGTGAAAGACTCGAATACATCCCTGCTGCGCTCACAAACACGATGAGTGAATGTCAAAGAAAATTGTCTGACCTGTCGGAGTTCTTAGCGAAGGCTGAGGGGGGCAGGTCAGTAGTCCAACTGGAGCCCACAAGCACCCAGACATGAAGGCAAACACCCAGACAGAAATGGAGAGATACCCCGCACCGAAAGAGAACCAAAAAAATAATGGGGACAGAAAAAATAAATGGTTAGGAACCGCCACCAAATCTGCGCTACTGCTGGAAGAAAACACTGCCGAACTGCGTTTTTTGGAGCAGCACGTTTCAAAATTTAGACTTCGGCAATAGGACGCCAACTTCTGAGCGTACCTCACGTTAAGTTTATTTAAGGGCAACTTTATAAATTTAGGGTCCAAAGTGTGACATTTTTCCTGTCTCTGTTTCCTTGGTACTTTGTAATTTGCCATTCAAGTATCATTAAGAATGACTTGAAACGATTTGTTCTTGGCTGGGTAGTTTGCTATTCGTAATCACTCTTGGAGGACGACTGCATTAAGGAGTGCATCAGAATTATAAAATCATAGATGTCAGATGTAACAGGGACAGGAAAAAATAGTAGACACCAAATTTGTAGAATGGTCCTTGAGCTAATGCGCTAACGTGAGGTATGCTTCAAATTTCTTGGGTCGCAGTGCCAAACTTCCCAAAGCTAGATTTGATTCATCTTGTTGATAGCACTCTGCTCTGTCATAGCAGTTTGGACTAACACTATAGAGCAATCCAGCGAACGAAATTAGAAACCATTTTCGAGGTGGTGCCATGCTCGCGCGCATGCCGCACGCGTTCTTAAAGAAGAGGCACTCGCGCATTTTGGTAACACCTTTGGTCAAAGGAGCCCGGAGTGCATGCGTACTATCAGAGCGCGACTCGCGCGAGCCTCACACCACCTCAGAAAATAGCTGTCGCCAGTTTCAGTAGTCTATAGGTAAGCCGAAAAATCTTTAGCGGGAGATTTTTGGGCCAACTTGCCTTTCTGGGTGATACGTAATGATAGAGGTAGGAGTTGTTTAAGGGTACACCCTTACGCCGTTGACGCCCTTCCAATGATCCTGGCTATGCAAATATGCCGGATATCATTGGACGATTCGCAAAGATACGAATGCGTTAGTGAAAGAAATGCCATGATTATGATTATAAAATGAAAGATGATATAGTTATTTTCGAAATTTCGACTTCATCCCCAGCTGTGGCTTAAGGCTTGAGCTTTTTGATTTCACGGACAACAATACTGGCCCGTTCTCCTTAATAAAGACCCCAAATTTAACCAGGAGACTAAGCTGGGAAAAAGGCCAGCATTTCGTAAACCCCATTAAGGGTTTTGAATTCTGGGCTTCACTCCAGCTTTATCTGAAGGAGATTTGGGGCCCTTGGTTTTGGGAACGCTGGCTTAATCTAAATCAACGATCAGGATAACTAAATCAGATAAAATGAGCCAATACTTTAGTGTTTCCATTTGTTTTGCTGCTAATTAAACGATTTTCAAGCCACAAATGATCCAAAGTTGGGAACAAAGCCAGAGTTTCAAAAATACCCCACTGGATGATAATGATGAAATGAATGAGAGATTTATAATTCGATAACTCTACCATGAAAGCTGCAGAGAAACTAAAAATTACAATTCTATACAAATGACTAACAGTTAATATTCTCATATGATGGGTAAAAAATAATTAAGAAAAAAACCCCTCATAATTTCATAAGCGATTTATTATTTTGTTATTTAATAAACATGATAAAAAAATGACTACAAGTGATCTATGTTCATATTGTATGCAATAAATATGAATACATTTTTTTTTAAATAAAATTGTTACTTTTGATAGAATTTTGCATCAAAAATATTAATTTTCACATGAATTAGTATTTTAGTAGTTTTGCTTAATGTGTACCAATATTTTGTCAGTTTGTAGTTTTATTGAAATTTGAATATGCTTCCCCATTATTTGTTGTATTTAACACATAATGGACTTCAAAGATGTAACGTCCAGACTATTTTCAATTTTCCCCTCGATATTTGCACAAAAATAATTCAAATTGCTAATTTTCTGACATTACAAAAGTTATACACTTATGAATGAGACACTGAACAAAAAATATTGGTCCAATTTTAGAAACGCAATAATGACTTTACAAATTTTGAAATTATTTCAGGCCCGACAATAATTCAGTTCTCACAGGGTAGACTGGTTCCCGCCCCTATCAGCATTGATAATGTAGGGCCTGGGAACCAGTCTACTCGCCTGGCAGACCTCTTCATGCACAAAAGCAACCAAAAGTAAAAAGATGTTTTGTCGTTAAAATGAAACATACAAGTGAAAAAATTTGTTCTGAAAAAAAAAAAAAATTGTTGAAGACTTTATAGACAATACATCTTTAATCCCCTTTCAGTACTCAACAGAACTCTAACGAGCAATTCCAGCGTTCTGTAATGTCTGTGACTGAGCTTTTAAGAGGTCAGTGAGTAAACCTGAAAAAGTATTTATTTTTTCATATCTTATACATCCATCGTCTAGTAATGGTCAAGGAGATTACAGACTAGGAGTTTTGGATCATTTCTCTGAATCATTCATTAGATATCATGGTTAATTGGCTCTGTCATGACATAATTTGTATCCTTGTGGAGTCATTTCTTTGTTCTCGTGTACTAAACCAGAATTAATTTCCTGGGCTAAAATTCGGACTTAATATCCCTTATATAAAATATTCAATTTGCGACAGATCAACACACCTTGGATATTCCTAGTTTTTGAGTGAAATCCATATATCTATTTCGTGATAACCTTGTGGGGACGTATTCAGGTATAGAAATTGCCCTGTGGAGATGCATACAATCTTTTGTTCCCTATTATACACATGTCTCCACAGGGCACCGTGTACCGGATCACTGGAATCGCCCTAATGTGAAGTTTAAATACTGTCTGAATATTATTCATATATGTGCATAATTATGACATCATCATGAACTCACCTTGTGAGTGGACAACGACGAGTCGGTCCGGGCGGCGGACACCGGACTGCCCGTCGGGCTGAAGCCGTCCCCTAAGTCCGCCCCCAGGTTGTCGTAACTCCCCGACTCAAACGGCGACCTGGGGTCAGAGGTCGGCGTGGGTCTGGGGTCAAAGAGCGGCGGGGGTCGGATGGGCTCCCGGGGCGTGGCCTCGCCATGGCGATAGGGGATGGTGGAGACTTGGTGGATCTTGGACGATTCGTTAGGGGAGGTTTCGTCTTTTGTGATGGTGCCGCTGCTTGAGTAACTCGGCGGACCGCTGCTGGACGGAGTCTTACTATGCGAACCAGACCTGCTGGAAAATTTAAAAAAAAAAAAAAAAAAAAATCAATATTTTATTTTGATTAATTTCCAACCCTATGTTTGGACGTGATCCCTGGCTATTCTTTGACAGGCTTCTGGCTAACACCCTTGAACAAAGACATTGACAAAATGGGGACCTGCCAACATAGGGCTGGATAGCTCAGTGGGTAGAGCACCGGAACGGCAATCCGGAGGTCGCAGGCTCAAACCCTGCTCCCTTCAATTTCTTTGTCCAACTTTCAAATTATTATAATGCATATTATTTTTATTAAAAAAAAAAAAAAAAACGTCGGTAAAGGGCAAAACCTTATTTGATGTATTATAATGCACTTAGTCAGTTTCTCTTTGTGATTTATGTGACGATTTTTTTAAATTAAATAAAAGCTGTGTCCTCTCTGAGTGATCCCCGTTTGCTATTTCCCAGATTTACAGCATTGCTTATGTTGCTAGCATCGTGACTTTGGACGTGATCCCTGGCTACATGGGTTTATGGCTTCTGACTAGCGCCCCTTGAACAAAGACACTGACAAAATGGGGAACCGCCAACATAGGGCTGGATAGCTCAGTGGGTAGAGCACCGGAACGGTAATCCGGAGGTCGCAGGTTCAAACCCTCCTCCAGTTAATGTGGGGAGACCTCTGGGTGAGATTCTTGAACGCATTGCCGACAGCGCATAATGCTCATGTGAGAACCACGTATTCAGAATAAAGTAAGTAGTACGTACTTCGCGCAACAAATGTATAAAGTACAACAAATACCCGCGACCTTTGACCTGTACCTGCTTCTATTCCGTGACCTCTGCGACGACTTCTGACTGCCGCCGTTCCGGACGGCAGCTGCGATGCTATTGGCCGCGGCCGTGGCCTCATCCGCGAGATCGTCGGACGACAACTCGTTCTCGAAATCAATCGTGTGCTCCTGGTAGAAAAATAAGAACATTGACCGCGAATAGTTTCAGTAACAAAATATGAGTTTCGCTGATAGTATGCTCAGCCAAAATTTAGAAAACATAACTTGAATGGACATGGCCACTGTAACGACGTCATTTTGGAGTTATAAAGAGATTTGTATTCATGATAATATTATGATAATATTCATGATAATATTATTCATGATAATATTATTTCGTCAGCCGGTAAAATCATTGATTCATTTGCACACCAGTTTTTATCGGTTGCGATAAGTCATCGTTCATCACTCCAGACTCAAGAACCATCGAGTTTTAAGTAATTAGGTCTTGGAACCAGACAATGTAATAAGCTCTCGCATGTCTACGCTTACCTACTAAGGAAAGTTTACAAGTTGTTACAATTCAAAAATTATATTATTACATTCTTAATTTTTTAGGTTTAAGTATCTATTGTCAATGAGGAAAAATAATAATGACAGAGAAAAAGTTAGATCTTTGAATCTAGACTTATCATCCAATGCTTCAGTGCATATTTCTGTACTGCTTATGAAAAAAAGTGGGGATTGGGGCCTTGTGGTTAAGGTTCGTGACTCATGATCAGAGGGTCAGGGGTTCAAATCCAGCTGTGGCCATATGTTGTGTCCTTGGGCAAGCCACTTTACCCCCACGTACCTCTCTCCACCCAGGAGTATAAATGGGTACCAGCATTAGCTGGGGAGTAACCTGCGATGGACTAGCATCCCATCCAGGGGGAATAGAAATATTCCCAGTCGTTTCATGCCAAGGAAACTGGAGATAAAGGCCGGTTTGATGGGCCATATTGGCTTAGGTCAGACTTCACTTCATATGAAGAAAACAAAAATTGCTTGACACAGCACGGGAATAATTATAACAAAAAAACTTAATTAATTGAACTTTTTCTTTTCTGTTTTATTACCTGCGTCTCTCTTGGTTTCAAAAATGACGGCGCTCCCCTGTAAATTAAACAAAAGAAAAGGGAAACAAGTTTTGATATTATAATAATAAAAATTATCCTCATCAGTTGCATACAAATTAGTTCCACTGCATTGAATGACTGAAATTCACAGCAACGTTTGTTGTATGATCACCGCACACACAATGAAGCAAATGTAAAAAAAAAAAAAATCACAGTGTGTTTAAAACGTATCCATACACAAAATATTCATTTCCTGTAGTGGCGAGTTCTAAATATTTTTAGACACTGTCCAAAGTTTGGCACAGAAAACGGTTTCTGCGCTCCGTCTTCAAATGTGACTTCAATTCAAATTCAGAAGGTTTCTAGGAAAACTAATTCGCCAAAACTTTTCTGATCGACTGCAAAATTTCATGCTCAAACATCACTCACTACTGTTAAGTTAGAAAAGGTCACACTCTGTTTTTTTTTTGGTTAGGCCAAAAAAAAAAAGTCTCCGGTTTCTGGTATGCGCGCGCGTCGCCGTAGCCATGCGCGTCGGCAAAATGAAAAAGTTTTTTTTTCAATACAAGATGATGTCTCAAAACCGCCAAACTCACTGGTTTGACTGGATTCCTGCTGCTGCACAATTTTAACCTGTTTTTAGATGGGGTTATGATCGAGAATAAGCTTTATGTGGCCTCTCTGGACTCCCATATATTTGCACTAAGTTTAGTCGGGCACCATTTGCAGTCATTAGCCGACATTTGAAGCCAAAAAACCAAAAAAAAACAGGTATAAAAAAAAAAAAAAGCCGCGTCGCCGCACCACTTTTGGGGCAAGCTCCATACCAGAAACCGGAGACTTTTTTTGGGGGGCCTTAGTACCAATACGGGACAAAAAAAAAATGTGGGAACTATTGTTTTAGTGAAGTTCTGTATGTAGCACTTTCAAAATCTAGGGTATAAAAGCCCAATTCATAAACTTTCTTTTAGTACAAGAATCATTCAAATCACTCATGTACTTTTTAAGTTTAAACACAACCACTGTTTTAAAGTTCTGTCCACGGATCACAAAAAAAGTGTGTGTTCTTTCAGCAAAACGAAAACAATTCAAACACATCCCTATGTGATTTTTTCGTTTTGCTGAAAGAACACTGAACTTTTTGTGATCCGTGGACAGAACTTTTAAACAGTCAGAACTTGGACTCACCCTGTTATTCGTAAAATAAAAGCTTCATTTTCAAAAGACATGCATGCGTTTCAACTTCTGTATACCACGTAGACTTGGCCCAAGACTGAATTTGGAGTTTTGTTTCGGTACCGGTCTTAAACCCTACAAAGCGTTATATTCACGCATGCGTGACATGTGCTCAACATTTCCTGGATAGCGCTGCCAAACTTCCCCAAACTCTATGTGATTCATCTTGTCGATAACAACCTCTACTCCAGCGGTGACGTGTCCTAGACCGGATGCACGAGGGCGCCAAAAACCCAAATCAGTCTTGTACTAAGACTATACACCAAAACATAGGCCAAGTTCACGCAAGGACTATAGTTGACCAATGGTTAACAAACGTTTGCCCGAACTCTGTCTAGTCGACGGTGGTTGACTACGCTAGTCGACTATTTGGAACCAGCCTACTGGGGTTGGTTGCTTCGCTGGTAACCAATAGCCGCGCGCATTCATAACGCTAGCAGAGAGCCAGGATCCAGAAGTTTTGCGATGACATTTTGACCAGCGTTTGACTAGAGACGTTCGCACGTTGCGTCACAAATCAACCACTAGTCGACTAATGGTCCTTGCCCGAACTTGGCCCTGGATGCTTCACTTACTCTTCAAATAATAGTCTACCGTCCGAATCATCGAGCCCTGCACCAACGATTGGGGAGGTATCACTGTCGCATGCAGATCTAGGGTTGCTACATTTAGGGTTTAGGGGAAAACGAAAATATGAACCAAAATGGGAAGACCAAATATAGAACAGCGTGGCCACTCACCAAAACTTGAAAAAAAAATACAAAGATGATCGCAGTAAAAATTTCTAAGATTTCCCAAGAAAGTTGGGATATACCCGAAGAGTAGGAAAGACCCATTTTTTTCATGGGGCCGCCGTTGCGCAATACAAGAGTAAATTTTTTTATTTCATGTACTGTGCGCATAAGACTCACAAAGTGCTGCAAAAAGCATTTGAGCATGCGCAAACTCCTCATCATACAAACAAATCCCAAGAGTTGGTGAAACTTTCCGAAAACTTAGGGAAAAATCCCAAGGTCTCAGGAAAATTCCAAGATCTTGGGAAAAATTTCCAAGATGATGGGAAAAAATTTCAAGGAGTGGCCACGCTGGAACGGGAAAGGGTATATGAGTTGAGTGGCAGGGCAATGAACATGCATACCATGAATATGGAAAGGAATTACAAAATGAATGAATTTTTTTTTTCAACTTGCAAAACAATAAATGTACAGATTTTGGACATTCTTAAATAGAAAAACAACTGTTTTGTGTTTTTTTGCCTTTGGGGCACTTTTTTAAAACCCATGTATTTTTTGTTTGGAAAGCTGGAGAATTTCAGATTATTATGATTATTATGATTATTTCTCTTATTTTAATAGTTTTAAAGAATGTGCAGAACTGGTTTGTTTGAACATTAAAAACGCAAATGCAATTTCTGATTTAACTTCAGAACCTGAGCTAAATTGGAATTTTTGGTCCGAATTTTTGGTCCGAGTTTGGGTGCGAAATGATGTAACGCCTTGAGCACCAATACTGGTCTATGCGTTCGCTTTATAAATACACAAATTCACATTACAAATTTTGAGTCTAAATTTTGGGTTCAAATTCTTCCAATTTGAAACAAAAAAGTATTCGGTCAAGTATAAATGTCAGCTTCTGACAAATAGAGTCTGCAGCTGCAACTCAGTAAACTCAAAATTCCAAGTAGGAATAACTGGCATCATGATATTCGTAGGAAGAGATTTTAGCTGGGGCATTGTGGGGGGGGGGGGGGGAGGGGGAACTTTAAGAAGGAATGGATGAATCCATGGTGCAGGAGTACAAAAAAAGCCAGAAGTTGAAAGAAAAACCTCAACCCAAATGTAAATGGATCGACAGATCACTTTTAAACCTCTTATAGGATGGAATTTGCATTTGGATGATGTAAATTCAATATTGGGGGTTGCTTTTTTGCAGACGTATTTTGTACATACTGTATACTCCGTGTCGTCTGTGGCTCGTGAGAAAAACTTTACAAGTTTACTCGTGTGGGACTCGAACCCACGACCTCTTGCTTACTAGTGCTATAAAAAAACATCGGTGAAGGGCAAAACCCGAAATTGAATTACTAAATCACCCCAACGCAAATTGCATCTTGTAAATTATTTTGGTTGTGGGACCCGCTGCGATATTGGATTTGAACCAACCAGCCGACCTGGGAAGCTCGGTGGTTGAGTGGTAGGCGTCTGCGCTAGTAAACAGGAGGTCGTGGTTCGAGTCCCATCCCAGTAAGCTTGGGACTATTGTCTAACAAGCCCTTGGGCAACACTGAGCATACAGTGTTTATGAAAATATTTCAGTGAGGAGCAAACCTAATATTAAATTCACTTTTAAATTAATAATTGTTTTTCTCAAAAGCTCAGACTTCAAACTTCGCACGCACCTCTGTCGCTCCCATGTATCCATCCTATTCCTAGCCATCCATAATTGTGGTTTGAGGATAAACGGAAAAAATACCAAATGCTGACTAAAACTGACATCATCTTCAACAACGATGAAATATCACAGATAGAGTATGTTATAACACCCCGTGCTTAGGCCAAAAACAAAAAAATAGTCGGTCTCTGGTCAGACCGAAGTTCCGGAATTGATGCGGCGACGCGTTTTTTGCTTTGTTTTTTTGGTGGCTTTTTTTTTTCAAGCTTGTATTGTACAGACAAGGTGGGTACTATTTTGCTTTTTTGCGTCCTCATTATACGTTGGTGTCCTCCATATTTTGCCTTGGTGCCCTTTATCATTTGCCTTGGTGCAATTTCCCCATTCCTTGATGCTCCTTGGTACAAAAATTTGAGGAGGCGCGGCAATAGAGGGCGCTGTTGTAGCTTCCGTGTTAATTTGAAAAAAAAAAGAAGGTTGACGCGCATGATTAAAATCGACGCACGTGCTGACCAGAGACAGATTATTATTATTTTTTTTGCCTTATTCATGGACAACTGTGATCCAACCGATACGGTGTTCGACTCATGTGCCGTGGTACGTGGGTTCGAACCCTGATGGGGAAACACGGTGCTTGTGTTCTTGGGCAAGCCACTTTACTACAACAAAACTACAATTGCCTCTCTCCACCCAGGAGTATAAATGGGTACCTTTGAGGGTAGAGACTTGTGCTGATCTCGAGCTGCTGCAGAAAATAAATTGTCTCGTCTCGAGATTATGACTAGTAAGGTGTATCAGGTTTTATAAAACAAAACAACACAGGTTGTTTTTTTTTGAGGTTGGCAGAATTTGAATACCCCGCGACGCAAATCTGCCAAAACTTTGGGCCAGTCATTTGGCACTATACGTAATTCCCCTCAATCCATGTTGTATTTGTTGTAACAACTCAGGTGATTCACAATGCAGTGCGCCACCAAGAGTTTGCCATGGAGAGTCTCTTTTTCAAGTTGACGGTCGACAAAACATGGCCCATTTGAATGAGTGTCAGTAGACAACTTCAGCTAATTTGTTATAGATTGGGGCATAACGTTCTGACGCCTTACAAAAAAAAATACCATATTGATAAAAAGAAAAAGGGCAAAAAGATACTCGAATCATACGCTTACGAAACCACTGACCGGAAAAACTAACAATTTCAAATGTCCCGCGCTGCGAATTTGTCGACCATCTCCCACAATGCACTGGGAAAAAGGAACTCTCTGTGGCAAACTCTTGGTGGCGCACTGCATTGTGAATCGCCCGAATTGTCGGTGTGTACTTAAAGTGTAGTGGGGTTCAAGGCCTTAAAAAAAATGAAATAATAAAGGGATTGACAATAGCATGCACAATATTTCACACATTTAATGTAGTTATTTTGATTTCTAGTGAGGGTAGTATGAGAATGGTAGTATGGTGAATTTCATAAGTAGGGCGATGAGTTTTTAAGAAGTACCGAAGTCACTGATCACGGAGTCTTATAAGAACAGTATGACAAGACGTTTGCGGTCTTTTCATTCTTTTTTTTTTCCTTGAAGAAGATGATTTCTTTAGGGATACTTACACCTGAATTGCGTGGTCGTCAAAATAAACAGGATTTGCTCTGAGCGGAAAAAAGGGAAAAAGTGCAACAAATAAATATCATCGCCAAAAAAAAAAAGATTTAATGTTTTGACGGTTATTTCTGCTGTATATGGGTATTCAAACGTGTATAAATGTAAATAAAACGTTGCAGGCAAACAGAGAAAAACAACACAAATATTACAATTTTCAGGCAATGTTTTTAACTTAATCTTCTCATTCTTGCTTCAAAATTGGTAAAGTTTGACCAATGCTTTAATTGAAGACTGATGCTGGTACATTTTGGGTTTTAAATTTTTTTAATAGTTTTTAATTTTTTTGGTTTGGTGAGGGTTAAATTGTACCTTTAGTCATATGATTTTCCAAAACCAATTTAGGAACAAATAGGTTGAGCGGGACTTAAGATCTTGAACTTGCAAAATGGTTGACAATTCTCATTTGATTATTGATAGGAATGTTCTCTTTTGAAACACAACAAAAAGTTCAGTGAATGATATATCATTACACCATGTAAGAATTAATTGTAATTAAATTTGCAGCGATTGTTTTGAAGTCCATATGTGTTTCATGGACACAGCTGTAGCGGTCAAATTAAAGAACCAATCCGAAGCAAGAACGTCAGAATACTCACAGACCAATTCGGGCACGCTAGCAATCCTATCACGAAGGCCCCCTTCAATGGCCAAAGCATTGTGCTAGCTATTGTTCAGATAATCCGTCACACGGCAGTTGCTTTGTACAATAGCATGCACAATGGTTTCTCCATTGATGGGGGCCTCATGCGTGTACAATGATCACATGCCGGATTGGTCTATACACAGGGTTCACTATATCATAACTACGATATTTTCTCATTCCAGTGAACGTGCTGGGAGGGGGGGGGGGGGGATTGTCACAATATGGATAAGGTTTGGGACACGGAGTTCGGAAACTTACGCTGACGGTGTCGTGAAAATCCGACCGTCAGGAACTGATGGCCCAGGACTGACATAGTCAAAGCAATTGCAAGATATCGAAAGTAAGCAGAAAAACATTGAGAACACAGACAACATTGCTTATACAAAATCACCAACAAACTGGAAGAAATGTGACCGAAACAAGCTACCAATACAGAAACTAAACTAAGAAAAATCCATTTAAATAGATTTGAAGGAAGCAGTGTGATTTTCATTTATTTTCCTTTCTCAGAACAGTAGGAATCCGTTAAAATGTCACTTAAAAACCAACCCCCCCCCCAATAAAGCCTGAATCCCATCCCCAAAACTAATACCCATATCAACAAACACAAAAACAGACCCCCAAACCCTAAGTAACCCCCCAAAAAATAAAAACAAAAAGCACCAACAACGCCAACATGCAAAAAAGCTATACCCAAAAAGGAAAAACATCTGAGAAACAAGCCAAAACAAAAACAACCCCCCAAAAAATCACCCACAAAAAATGGCACATATGAAGACAAAAAATTTACAAACTCAACAAAAGCCCCCAGAAAAAGAAAACCAAACACCGACCCCCATCCCCCCAAAAACTAAAACCCACAACAAAAACAGTCTGAAAAGCAAACAAAAACAGGCCCCAAATAACCAAAACAAAACACAAATACCAACCCCACTCACAAACAAAAAATAAAGCCTAAAACAAAAAGCCTGAAAAAAAAATACAAGCCAACAAAAGCCAAAAAGTTAAACAAAACAAAAACAAAACAAAAGCGCTAAAAAAGAAAACAGAAAACAAAACACAAGCAAACCCCCCTCCCCCAAAAAAACAACAACAAACAACAAACAAACAGCAGACTGCAAAGTTAATACCAAACTAAGGCAAAAAAAATAAAAATACTCGGTCTCTGGTCAGACCAAAGTTCCGGAATTGACGCGGCCACGCGGCTTTTTTTTTTTTTGGCTTTTTTTTTTTTTTCTTCAAGCTTGGATTGTACAGACAAGGTGGGGTACTATTTTGCTTTTTTGGTGTCCTCATGTACATTGATGTCCTCCATAATTTGCCTTGGTGCTCTCGATCATTTGCCTTGGTGCAATTTCCCATTCCTTGGTGCTCTTTGGTAAAAAAAATTGAGGAGGTGCGGCAATAGAGGGCGCTGTTGGAGCTACCGCGGAACATTTTGGAGAAAAAAAAAGATTGACGCACATGATTAAAATCAACGCGCGCGCTGACCAGAGACCGACTTATTATTTTTTTTTGGCCTAACAAACGGGGGAAAAAATCCATTCAAAAACTGAAATTAAATATAAAACAACAAAAGACTTACATTTCGTGGTCCTCCGCTGTGGAGTAGGGGTTGAAGGTGTTGTACATGGGCAAGTAGAGTCGCGCCTGCTTCTCCCGTTCCATCTCACGTCTGTATCCAAGAACCAAACTATACCTGTCAACGTGTTGACGGTGGTGCATCGGGAAAACACGCCAGGGTAGGGCAGATTGTGAGACGTAGTAGTACGGGGAAGTAGAGGTGACAGACAGTGAGAGAAAAAAAAAAAGGACAAACACGGTGCAAGATATGAAACGAGTGAGAGGACAACAGCCAAATAAATACACCAGGTAAAACAGAATCATTGGATCACAGCCACAAAAAAAAGTTATTTAAGGCGAGTCAAAAAACCGGGAAACCCAAATGGCAGGACCATTTTGTTAGTGAAGTTCTGCATGTAGCACTTTTAAAAATCTAGGATATGAAAGCCCAATTCGTAAGCTTTCTTTTAGTACAAGAATCATTCAAATCACTCATGTACTTTTCAAGTTATGGAATTTTATTAACACAACCATTGTTTTAAAATTCTGTCCAAAATACTATTCTTTCAGCAAAACGAAAAAATGTGAATTGTTTTTGCTCTGCTGAAAGACCTCTTACCTTTTTTGTGATCCGTGGACAGAACTTTAAAACGGTGTTTGCGTTTAAAATTCCGTAACTTGAAAAGTACATGAGTGATTTGAATGATTCTTGTACTGAACGAAAGCTTATGAATTGGGTTTTCATACCCTAGATTTTGAAAGTGCCACAGGCAATACTTCATTCAAAAATTGGTCCCGCCATTTGGGTTTCCTTTTTTTTTTTACTCATCCTGTACATCGCAACAAAAGAATTCTACAAAGCAACAGTACTTCATCCATCCATCATAAAAGTAATGAATTTTCACATTTGGTATGTAATGACATGCGAACCGGAATAGTTGTTTGGTTGAACGAATCATCCAGTTTCTTCATCATTTTATGTTTTTGCAAATTTCAGTTTTAAATACAGTTTCCCAACCACTTGTTGCCTTTCAGGACAACATATCTTCTTTCAGGAAAGTTGTTTCGGAATTTCAAAAGTTGTCAAACGTTCTATAAATTCGAATTAAAACGATGGAAATTGTAGTCTAGATACAAACACCAAATAAAACCACACTACCATGAGTGTGTCAATTTCGGCCGAACGTTTTTGTTAAATTATTTTTTTTTTTTAAATATCACCAAAGCAAAGTTTCTTGTTTGTGGGTTTCGAAAGGATGGATGTAGTACTATGTTAATGGTTACATCAGCACATGTTAAACGCATGATCAGGTTAATGCACCATTCAAATCACAAGCATGAGAGCATGGCAATATTCTGTGCTTCACAATGTTACTCTACATTTACACTTATAAAAAAGAGCTTCAACAAAATACTTCAGAATATCATAAGCATGACCAAAAGATGATATTCTTAAAAAAAACCAAAAAAAAAATGCAAGAAAACATCTCTTACAATCTGCCAACTAGCCACTACAAAACTTGACTTTTTTTTGAAAATTAAAACCATATCTTTTGAGGAAAATTAACTTCATTTCAGGAAAATTGCAAATCTCTTGAGCAATTATTAAATTAAATTATCAAAACCCATATGTTCACTCGCTTTTTGTGTGTATAATCATTTTAATTTATTTACTTTACTTCATCGCACTTTCATTGAGGATTTTTAACGCGCTGTGATTTAGCTTTACTAATAAGTTTATAATTATTAAAATTTCTATCATAAATTGTCTCATTTATACTTTCGTATTTTGGAAATCACAAGGTTTTAAACTTTTTCACGGATATATTATGTTGTCTCTATGAAGCTCAGACTTGCTAAGTTAATAATTTACACAAGTATCAACTGGCATAGAATCAAAGAATTTATGAGCATCTCCCAAGCTCAATGCAATCATTTCTAAGTGAAGGTGCTTAGCGCTTTAAGCAAATGTTAGCAAGTTGTGTAATAGGGTGCAGGATAGTTTCATGTGCTGCAAAAAATATATGAAAATTTAACAATATGGTTTCATTTTCTTATGGTTTAAAACAGTGAGACAAGGCAATATTATTCTTCCTTATTTCTTTCAACAAAACCAATAATCGTGGGAGTCACTAGAGGGGGTGTTTGGGGTGTGACCCCCCCCCCCAATTGTTTTCATTGGCAAAATTATTGTGTTATCAGCAAAATCCTGTGTCCATCGGCAAATAAGCTGCAACAAATGTGATGCGATCGAGCTAATTGAATTGTTTGTCGACCCCGGTCAAAACATTTTTTAATACAGATTTGAAAAGAGCACAATCTCAGCATTACTGCTGTGAAAACCGCATGCTGATACCATCTTTAGTTCAAAAATTATGGAAGTCGGAACATCAAGAGGTGTGATGAAGTGATGTGATGAAGTGGCCCTATTTTGGCCTGTATCTCCAAATGAAAATTCCCGACAAATGACTCATGTAGCTTGATGGCATCACAAATAGTGTCACATGTTGTCAATTAGTGTCAAATATCATCGTCTGATTTGAACAGCGCCCCCATTAGTCAGATTGTGTCCAGCCCCCCAACAATACTTTATGATATTTCTATGTTCTGGGCTTTCTTCCAGCACAGAGTGGTCTGTCGTCAAATTGGTTGTCAACCCCCTCCCATTCCAATTGGTCTGGCCACGCCCATGCCAAGAATCTGCATCTACCAATTTCTAACGGACAGCTTAAAAGCCGGTGCCCACTTGTTGGAAAAGCAAACGCAAAAACGGCAATTTCAAAAGTTGCACCCATGCTTGTATATTGAAACTTCAAATTTGTTTTGCACAAATTTGCAGAGATTGTTAGTTGACCATATTTTATTCCCATTGCATTAGCCATTATGGTTCTTGTACAATGAATTTTGTGCCTGTTAATGTTTTAAGCCCTTATTTTCTCCCCACACACTGGTTAGGTGTTATAAAACCAAATATTGCGAAGCTGCGACATACGATTTCTGTGTGGGACGTCTCCGTAAAGACCAACTTTTATCACCGGAATCCGGGGGTCTGTTAACTACGTAGACACTACAGGACAACAAAAAAATTGCAAGCAGGATTTTTTGGGACAGGTGAATAAAAGACATGTGGTGAAACAAAAGGGTCTAAAGTACACATCTAAATTTGGGGAACTTTCCTGGAGAACAACGGGGAACAACTATGGGTTAATATTGGGGATAACTTAGGAACCGGTAGCTGGAGAACCATGGTGGGTATAACTTCTTTTATTTAGATGTGCCGGCAATAAAGATGATTTAAAAAAATTTGGCAGAGAGTTGTGAGGATACTGCTACACTCCAACCACCCAACTGGGATCCCTTTGTCGCCGAGCGGTTTAACTTTGGCAAGAAACAGTCCACTAATTTCACACTGGGTGGGTGATCGTTGGAAAGATGAATGCCCAAGCAACACCGTTAAGACGGCGTGAATTCCTTCCCGGCAAAACCCAACGGGGTACGGGGAAGGAACCAAGAGGTGTGGGGAAGAGGCCGCTTGTTTTTCAGAAAAGACTTGGGCGGAAGTGTCGGAGAAGTAACCTTGCGACCAATCCCGGACACTGGACATCATGGGGGTGTGCATTTACGGGTAGGACGGGAACCGGTTACCCGATTGATAAAGAAACACAGGTAGCAGGGTACCGGTTAAAGAAACCCAACCCAAAAATTCAAATCCCGGAAGTTGCTGTTCAGATTGTTCACAAAGGTCCGCACGATAATGCTACCGCATCTGCGCGTCAATACAGCAAGATACAAATGTGTTCAGTGAGCTCATAGCTTTACGGTGTAAACCGCAACTTTTGCGAGCGTCACAAACGTGGAATATGTTGGGTTTTTTTTCAATATGTTGCCTAGTTTTCATTTTGAAAAAATTCCCCACAAACAGCATTCGGAATCTTTCTTTTTCATTGTCTGAGAAGTTAATGAGTGATTTGTAAAGTTGGTTATGGTACTGGATTCCGTAATCTGGAACCGGTTCCTGACATCAACGGTCGGGTACCCGGGTACCCGGTTCCGACGCACAGCCCTACAACATCAACAACTGTCTAATCTATACAATCAGACGGCCGGAACATGAAGAGACGCTCATTCGGTTTTACCATGTGTTTGGGAACCTATTTTTCTGTGCCCAAAACAACAGGGTTCTCAGCACTTTATGAAAACAACATTTCCCATTTTCCCTGATTCTCCTGTGAAATTGTCAAATTTCCATGAGAAATATTTCCATTTTAACGAATTTGCTGGGAAGTTAAGAGCATAAATTCACACAGCAAAGCCTACATATATTCACACGGCATAAGTACTGAAAAGCCAGCATAGCCAGTCAGTCAATGGACGCAACTTGGACACACGGCACAAGACGCATTTACAGGGTGCCCAAAAAACGTAGCAGTCAAACAGATGTTTTTCCGAGGAAAATTTATGGAATTGATTTTGGTAAAAAAATTACCGTGAGATGATAGAGTGTTTCTTTACCCTTGACAGGATTTTTGTTCTGTGCGATTTGGACCTTTTGTTTAAAAATTACGGCAAAGCTTGTCAAGACTGTCCAAATCTGTTTGAGCCACTTCCTTCACCTTCTTGGTATGAGAATGCCTTTCTTAGATACCAAGCGGCCCAACTTTCAAATTCAAGACATTTCATTCAATTAGCTGTATCTCTGGACTGGGGTGTCCAAATGAGATGGGATAAAAACCGTTGTGTAGAGTATTTACACCTTCAGACTCTATAGATAAGTTTTGCAAAAAGAGAGTGCTAGTATTTTTAATATTCATGGATTGACTGCTACATTTTGTTTGAGGTGTACCCTATACGCCAAACTGGCAAAAACCTGACCCTTCTGGGTCACTGTCGAATTCCTTAAGTTTCTCCTGATTATTTTTTGTCTTTTTTCCCAAATTTCCTGAGTTTTCTCTGACTGGAAAAATAGAAACTCATTTTCAAGGTTTTCCCCTGATTTTCAGAGTGGCTTGGAACCCTGAACTGACTATGCATGATAGCGAAAAAATGCCTTTAAGCCAAAACTACTTATTGAATGTCATGTTTCATACTTTGACTTTCACTGAATGTTGTGATTGGGGTCTGTGTGCTTTTGCTGCGGTGTGGAGTAATTTTCATCCGACCACCAAAGTGATTAAAAAAAGGAAATATATCAGTCTTTCAGGCAACATTTATAAATAAAAAGAAATATCAAATATCATGCAACTAAGTGCCACAATGACATATAGTGCAAGCGATGATGAAATACTGACAATATTTATTTGAAGGTTTGCATGGCGAAGTGCGCAACAAGAGTAAATTCTCGACAAGAAATCTCGTCTGTGTGTTTGGTGGTTCTGTAAAGAACCAAGGGGGGGGGGGGGAGGGAGGGAATGCAACATTTAGGACAGTATGCTCTGCCCATCGACAGAAAACTGAGGGATTCTAACAACGAAGGATGGTTTTGTAGAACTGGGAGCAGGGAAGAGTGGAGATCGTAAAGATGCAACTTTTGAGACAAAGCTTGGGCAAAACGTTGATTTTTTATCAACTGTTTTTTTCAGATCCTCACAAACTCACAAAACTGATTTCTTGTCTATGGTGCAGCCGGAAATTTCCTCTTGTTAAAGTAATATACAACATTTGCTTTTGCTGTAATTTTCCAGAAAAGGATGGATTCAGCCGTTAGGATTTTATAGCAAATGTTGTTACACTGACCTGTTCATTTTGTGTTCATAGGTCCTGGCAAAACCAAGAAAAAAGAAAATTCTGTTCTTGTAGTCTGGTTCCGGGAAAAAAATTGGAAACCAGACTCGCCAATTTGCACCCGTTCACAGATTTGTAACCATTTGCAAACAAAATGTGGGCTAACTAAATTTTGCAGTTTTTTTTTTCCCAATGATGGTTGGCCGACCATCGTTGTAAATTGATACAAAAATTCCACTTTTCTTAAAAATGACAGCACACCAGGTGCCATGATTTCACAGGATGCTTGAGACTATTATTCACTTACAGTCAATTAACGTACTTCATAATAATTTGGTAGTTTTTTTGGTTGTTTGCAAATGTTGTATATTACAAATAGTGTATATAGGCATATAGGATCATTTGCTGTTCATGCATTTTGATCGTTTCCAAAAATAACACCACTCACAATCCAAGGAAGAATGTTCAAAACCTAACCTGTTGAACTTTCAGCTCAGCAGATAAACATTTGTCAAGAAAACCGGAAAATCATGCACAACCTTTAGATCGCGAAACTTGACTTCGTCAATACCCCTCTCTATTCCAAAAATCAGTCAATTGACAGATCCTTGGAAATCACCTACATTTCTTGATTTCTTCTAAATGACAGTAGGCCAGACGGAATAATTTCACGGGGTGTTAAGTACCAGTACGATCTTTAAACTAAGTAAGATTTTCGATAATAATTTGGTAGGTTACTTTTTGGATAAATGCAAATGAACTTATATGCCTTTAAAAATATAGTCGTTTATATATTTGAAGGGCTACTACGCACTTTTTCCAGGACACGACGACTACGGCAATGGCCAAGATGCATAGTATAAACAATGCCACGGCTAGGCACAGTAAGGCTATTGCTTCCACGGTTGGCTCGGCATCTGAAGTGACCGGGCGACGGCCGGTCCTAGGTTTGCGGACCTCAATGACCCGTCCGTCGGGAGAGATGCCTTGAAGGACAGCATCCAGTTTCGAGACGTCTTGTAGGAGTCTAAGAAGTGGGTAGAAAAGTTCCAAATGAAATATGTAGTAAAGGCCTATCAACACAAACGTGACTTTTTTGAGGGTTTTATTAACACGAATAAATCAAAGAGTCTGTTACATTTATGCAACTTAATCAGCGATTTTATCGCACCACACAAAATGTAAACTAAATCACAGTGCTTACAGTATTATTATTACCCCTGATCAATTAAACATCCAAAATACCATTTCAGCTCCCTGGGGAGTATACAGCTTGATGCTGCCTGTTAGGCGCAAGCAAGCTAAATCAATCACATAACCATCTCTGCCCTCACAGGTACCCATTTACTCCTGACTGGAGAGAAGCAATGAGTAACAAAGTGCCTTGCCTAAGGACACACGCACCATGACCCCAGGCTGGACTCGCACCCACAGCAGCTTTACCCACAGACCACGAATCCAGTGCCCTTAACCACGAGGCCACAGCACATTGGTGACATACTATGTTTTAACAAAAAATTGTGTGACCTATAGCAAAGTTGTGGACACATGCACAAGTTGGACACTTACTCTAGGAGCTCATCCGTTGTAAACGGCTCCCCCGTCTCCGTGTTGATCGCGTAAAACTGGACATCCGACCCTGACGGGTCGCTCTTCTCGAGGTCGTCGCCATAGAGACGGACACCAACGTCCTCGATGACGACTTCGGCTCCGAGGAGTTCCTCCAGGGCTGCCTCTAAGAGCGCCTGGTTATCGCCAAGGAGACTGGGAGAAATATTGGTGACGAGGACGGCACGGTTGTCTTCGTTGATCAGAGAAATCTAAGGTGAAATAGGACAAATAAAAATGACAGTAATGTTACGTATGTATCTGAGATTGGAATTTTCCAGACGAAATCTGCAAGCTTGGTTGTGAAGTGCTTAGATGTCTGCATTAATAAGCAGAATCGTGGGTTTGAATCCCGTGTGGCCAAGCTTTTAAATTTTTGGCGACAACTCTTTAGTATGTGCTGGGCAGAGATCGAATCAAGTCAGTCACAAGTCAATTGAAATATCAATCACATGTCAGCACAAGTCAATCACAAGCCAATCGCAAGCCATCCCAAGTCAATCCCAAGTCAATCCCAAGTCAATCCCAAGTCAATCCCAATTCAATCACAAGTCAATCACAAGTCAATCCCAAGTCAATCCCAAGTCAATCCCAAGTCAATCCCAAGTCAATCCCAAGTCAGTCACAAGTCAGTCACAAGTCAATCACAAGTCAATCACAAGCCAATCCCAAGCCAATCCCAAGTCAATCCCAAGTCAATCCCAAGTCAATCAAAAGTCAATCCCAAGTCAATCCCAAGTCAATCCCAAGTCAATCACAAGTCAATCACAAGCCAATCCCAAGTCAATCCCAAGTCAATCCCAAGTCAATCCCAAGTCAATCCCAAGTCAATCCCAAGTCAATCCCAAGTCAATCCCAAGTTAATCACAAGCCAATCACAAACCATCACAAGTCAATCACAAGTCATTCACAAGTCAATCACAAGTCAATCACAAGTCAATCACAAGTCAATCACAAGTGTGATGGACTTGCAATGAACTTGTGATGACGTGTTAGGACTTATGACTATAACTCAGTGTAATAAAATGAGTTGTAAAAAAAAAAATCAAGTTTTACCATGACACTGGTGTTGGCAACGTTCTGCGGAGGCCCAAATCTTTCCTGACCACGGACAGTGTAGGTGAAGATTCTTGGCTCGGCGGCCAATTCAGCGATGGCCGTCTTGATAACTCCTGTTGATGTGTCGATGGAGAAGCTATCGACAGCTGGCTTATCGATCTGATTGCCACTGTTGGATGTTGGTCGAGCCGTCATCGAATAGTCTATGAGGCTGTTGTTATTGCTGTCCAAATCGATTGCCTGGAAAAAAAAGGGACGAAGATAAATTTATTCCATGGTGTGCAGGGCCATGGGCTCCGCGCGCCAACAAAAGAGGGCGCCCTTTTACCTGGCAACGACGTCCCATTGGCGGGACACTGAGGCGTTGGAAATAAAGAGTAACATTAACGACATCTTGTTTTGTGATCAAAAGGTTGTGCATGGCTTCTCACTGTTTTCTCGAAAAGTGAAATATCCACTGAGCTGAAACTTCAACAGGTTAGGTTTTGAACATTCTTCTTTGAATTTTGAGTGGTGTTATTATTGGAAACGAACAAAATGCATGAAAAGCAAATGATCGTATATGCCTTTAACGACTAGGAGGGTAGGGGGTAAAACCTAGCTCCTAACTTTGAAAGGTAATTTGGAAAAGGTTTCGTTGGAAATACGTCCAGCGTGTTTATACTCACAGTCATGGTAATAACTCGCGTGCCGATGCCTGCTGAGTCCGATACGCCGATAAAGTACGCCGTCTTCCCAAATGTAGGCACGTTGTCGTTGATGTCCACCAGGTCTATGACAACTTCTACTACATTGGAATCTGAAATAAAATTATAAAATATTAAAAAATATCTCCACAATTTTTTTTTTTTTTTGGCCATGAGTGAAACGGTATTGATATAAAGTATGAGGCAAAGCTGGAGGCAAGTCGTAGTTTTGAAAATGGGAGTCAGGTTGGCACAGTGGTACTTTCCTCGCCTTCCACCGCTGTGACATGGGTTCAATTCCTGCCTGGGGCAAGATGTGGATTAGGTTTTCCGTCCCTACCTGATTCCGTGGGTTTTAACGAGAATATTTTCTTCTGGGGTTTTGCTCCCACCTCTAAAACTGTAATTTCTTCTGATTGTCTTCTCTCTACAGGTTTCGTCAGGCTTGCGAGCTACAGTGCCTAGAGTGCTTCTGAGGATCCTTGGTTACATTACAAGAATTAGATAATAAATAATAAAAACTTATCATTTTGTCGTCTTTTTCTACCATTGTGACATGTGACGGCAAATATGTGGATTGGGTTTCATTCCCTGCCTGATTCCGGGTGTTTTCCCTAATATTCTGGGGTTTTCCTCCCACCTCTAAAACTGCCATTACTTCTTATTGTCTTCTCTCTACAGGTTTCGTCAGGCTTGCGAGCTACAGTGCCTAGGGCACTTTTGAGGAATCCTTGTTCATTACAAAAACCAACTAATAATAAAAGAAATAGCAATAACTTACCAGTTTGTCGTCTCTTTCTACCATTTCCCCCTGAAGTAGTAGCTTCCACCACGTTGGCTTGCACCATCAGTGAATAACTACTGATGTTCTCTCGGTCAAGAACCTGCAACGTTTTGATTGTGCCAACGTTGTTCAGCGACACCAACTCAAACTTTCCTGTTTGCAGAAAGAGGTTTATAACAGAAAAGAAAGAAGTGTTGTGTGTGTTTTGTTTGTGGGAAGTGTGGCCTAGTGGCCAGGGTTTGTGACTCATGATCAGAGGGTCACGGGTTCGAATTCAGCTGCTGGTCATATGTGTTGAGATCAAGCTACATGAGTCGTTTGTCGGGAATTTTTATTTGGAGATACAGGCCAAAATAGGGCCTATTCATCACATCACATCTCTTGGTTTTCCAACTTCCATAATCTTTGAACTAAAGATGGTATCAGCATGCAGTTTTCACAGCAGTAATGCTGAGATTGTGCTCTTTTCAAATCTGTAATAAAAAAAAAAATGACCAGGGTCGACAAACGACTCATGTAGCTTGATCGCATCACATATGTTGTGTTCTTTGGCAAGCCACTTTATCATCACTTGCCTCTCTCCACCCAGGAGTATAAATGAGTACCGCATTAGCTGGGGAGCTTACGCAAGGCTTCAGAAGTCTCAAAGCGTTTCACAATTATTCCCCCTATTCATCAGGCCGTGAGACCAGTTTTCTGCAGCAGCTCGAGATCATCGCAATCTGGTCTCTACCTTCACAGGTACCCATTTATACTCCTGGGTGGAGAGAGGCAATTGTAGTAAAGTGTCTTGCCCAAGAACACAAGCACCATGTACACACACTTACCATCAGGATCGCCGGCGATGATGTCATACTCAATCTGATCGCCCTGATTGGCCGAGGCCTGAAGCTCAACGACGTTTGTCCCCGGCGGCTCCTCCTCTTTGAGGTCATCGACCCTGTGATGCATAATGAATATTCATGAAAAATGATGCATAATTCAGTCACAGTCATTCAAATGATCACTGTTTACAAATAAATTGGCAAGGATGAAAGTTTGGACGTAGTTCTTACATGTAGACGGATTGCGGGAACACCGGCCTCTCCATCCGGACTAGGATGACAAGAGAAGCCGTCCGGCTCCGGGACGGATTACCGTTGTCATAGGCAACAATGGTCAGCTGTAAACAAAAAAAAAGATTTTAATTTAAAGGGAAAATACAACATTTGCAAATATCAAAAAATAAAACTACCAAATCATTTTGAAATACCTTGCTGGACTGTTAGTGAATATGACAGTGTAAAGCATCCTGTAAAATCATGGCACCTGGTATACTGTCATTTTCAAGAAAAGTGGTATTTTTGTATCAATTTCCAACGCTGATCGGCCGATCAGTGTTGGAAAAAACTGGGTTTTTTTTCAAATACTGGCCCCAATTGACCATCGCACTTGTTTGCAATCGATTACAAACCTATGAACGGGTACGAGCCAGCTAGACTGGTTCCCTGACCTTACAATTCCCCAATGTATGTAAACTGCTCTGTTTCTTCTTATATGGAGTCAGGGAACCACACTACAGGAAAATGATTGTTTTTCTTGGTTTTTATAGCATTTTCGAACCCAAAACCTCAAAAAAGTCAGTGTAACTATATTTGCTATATATTTCCAACCCCCCAATTCCATTGTTAAGATTTTTCTGCACGATTTCCTTTTACCCACTAACACCCCCCCCCCCCCCCCACAGCTGCACAGATCTGCCACATTTGTTATAGCGTTCTACTGTACCATGTGACGAGCTCTCGTCCAATCAAGCAACCAAATCTTACATTGTGCTCATCCGGAGCATTTTGGAGGCTGGTCTTGGTGACAACCGTGCCCTCTGATGGGTCGGGAATGGTGAAGTAAACACTGGCTGGCGTCAGGCTGTAGAACACCTGACTGTTAGTGGTGTTCTGAAAAAGAGAAACGAAAAATCTGAATGATTGAATAAAATTCATATGCTTACTGCTATATGCTAAGGCTGTAACGTGTTGCTCTTTGATAGGATGTAATTTGCAGCGGGGTGACGTAAATTCAAGGTTTTTTTGTTTCCCTTCACCGACGTATTTTTATAAGCACTGTATACTCAGTGTTGTCCGAGAGTTCACGAGGAGAAATTTCACGAAGCTTACTTAGGCCAAAAAAAAATAAGTCTCCGGTTTCTGGTATGCGCGCGCGTCGCCGTAGCCATGCACGTCGGCAAAATGAAAAAGTTTTTTTTCAATGAAAGATGATGTCTCAAAACCGCCAAACTCACTGGTTTAACTGGAATCCTGCTGCTGCACAATTTTAACGTGTTTTTGGATTGGGTTATGGTCGACAATAAGCTTTATGTGGCCTCTCTGGACTCCCATATATTTGCACTAAGTTTAGTCGGGCACCATTTGCAGTCATCAGCCGACATTTGAAGCAAAAAAATCAGGTAAAAAAAAAAAAAAAAAAAGCCGCGTCGCCGCACCACTTTTTGGGCAAGCTCCATACCAGAAACCGGAGACTTTTTTTTTATTGGCCTTAAGTGTGGGACTTGAACCCACGACCTCCTGCTTGCTAGTGCAGAGTCTTACCACTCGACCATCGTGCTTGCCAGGGTCGGCTGGCTGGTTCGAATCTGATATACCAGCCGGTACCGCCACCAATCACTATTTGTACGATGGAAATTTGCAGAAAGATGTACAAGTTAACTTCAATACTCAAATAATTTGAATGAGCTTGCAATTTTTTTTCTCGCATTCCCGCAGACAACACTAAGTATACAGTGTTTATGAAAATTCTCTCAGTGAAGGGCAGAACCTTTAAGGGTGTGTTCGTTTAGCTCACCCGGGTCAACACAGGTAAAGGCAGACGGGTCAACATAACAGCCGAGCTAATCAAACGCTCAACCGAGGGCCATCACGATCCTCACGTGACGCCCTTAGCCGTGGCCGTAGCCACTGACAAAACGCCCGTTTCGGATTGGGTCTTAGTTTGAGATTTGCTGCTTTTTAATCGATTGCATTAAACTCAAAACAGTTGGGCAGAAATTACAGCCTCAAAATTTGCATTGAACTCAATAAACGATTACCTTTAGACTTCAAATAAATCCAACTTTTAAGTCCACTTGAGATTTCCGCTGTCCGGCCGCCATATTTGTCAGTTTCTAGGGAATGAACAACCCATGCATGACGTACTTCCACCAGTGACTCTGCTCCACGAGCAGGGTCTGTGGAGGCTGACCCGGGTGAGCCCCGAGAATGACCTCAGAGCTCATCGAACGGCACGGGGCTGACCCGTGTCGACCCGGGTGAGCTAAACAAACGCACCCTAAGATTAGATCTTACTTCTTACTTCATCTCTGCACAAAAAAATTCCATCAGACAAATTTACGAATGGGTTAAAGGGTTTTCAGAGGCAGGCTCCATTGTCACTTACTGGAAAATCGCCGTCAATTGCTCGGATGCCGCTGGCCGCGATGGTTCCCAAATCGGCTGTCCTGAGAACAGCGCCCTTGTAGGAGTTCATTGCGAAGACTGGATCATGGTCGTTCTCATCCTAATGTGGGAAAAATGCAAACATTTGGTAAAAGTGGGAAGCAACCAAAACAATTTGTGTATTGATCTAAGAAGCTAGAATTATATGTCTCAGTCACCAATATTGCGTGAAGAAAGATAACAATAACAGAGGCTGAGTTAAAGATCCTTTGCAAATGATGTCATTGCTTGTGCACTGAAAAGGAACATGACCTCACTATACTGCATATCTCCACAATCCATCCATCACAAGTCCTTGAATGTCCTCACATGTTCAGGAAAGTCCTTACAAGTCCTCACATGTGAGGACCTGTGTACAAGTCCTCACATGTGAGGACCTGTGAGGACCTGTGAGGACCTGCGAGGACTTGTGAGGACTTGCGAGGACTTGCGAGGACTTGCGAGGACTTGCGAGGACTTGAGAGGACTTGAGAGGACTTGTGAGGACTTGTGAGGACTTGTGAGGACTTGTTAGGACTTGCGATGACTTGCAAGGACTTGAGAGGACTTGAGAGGACTTGTGAGGACTTGTGAGGACTTGTGAGGACTTGTTAGGACTTGTGATGACTTGTGAGGACATGTGAGGACTTGCGAAGACTTGCGAGGACTTGAGAGGACTTGTTAGGACCTGTGATGACTTGAGAGGACTTGAGCGGACTTGTAAGGACTTGTGAGGACTTGTGAGGACTTGTTAGGACCTGTGATGACTTGAGAGGACTTGAGCGGACTTGTGAGGACTTGTGAGGACTTGTGAGGACTTGTTAGGACTTGTGAGGACTTGTGAGGACATGCAAGGACTTGTGAGGACTTGTGAGGAATTAGGAGGACATGTGAGCCTTTGTGGGGACTTTTGAGGTCTAGTGAGGACTTACTCCAAAGCAACACGTACTGCTAAACACAATCTCTTTATTTCCAAAATGTCAAACTTACAAGAACGTTGACTGTCACGGTAGTGGTGGCGTTTGTTGCCTCGTCGTTCTCCGTGTCTCGTACCGTCACCTCTAACGTGTAAGATTGCATCTTCTCGTAGTCCAGTTCCTTCAAGAGGGACATGTTTCCCGTCTCTGGGACGATACTGAAGATTTGCGTGTCGCCCGAGGTGATGAGGTACTCCAGGACTGCTGTCTCGTCACGGTCAAGGGCCTGGTGAAAAAGGAAATTGAGAAAACATGAGCATGAGCTAAAAGACAATGACACTTATACGAGCAAGTTGGGCGAGGACCCTTATTAATCGACTAGTGGTTGATTTGTGGCATAGCTTATGTCTGTGCACTAATAGCGACATAATTATATACCAACATTTGTGGGGGCCTGGTAGGGTAAGAGAAACATATGTTATGGGTCATTAAAGTTGGGAAAAATTTGTACACAACTCTATGGGAATGTTTCTCATAATTATTATTATCATCTACAATTCAGATCTTGAATAGCATATTTGATTTATAAAATATAATGACCCCTACAGAGTAGTACATTCACCTGAAGGATGAGAAAGTCCTCAGCAAGGTAGTTCTCCACGACATCGGTGGAGTACTGGCTGCGTTCGAACACCGGCCCGTTGTCGTTCACGTCCTGAACCACAACCACAACTTGCAGCGCGGTGCTGCGCGGCGACGCCGCCTGGTCCGTCGCGATGACTTCCAACTCGTAACGATCTTTCTGTTCCCTGTCCAGGGCAACGATTGTGTAGATTGAGCCGTTGTCTGCGTCGATACGGAAGGTATCGGAAACGAGACTGTACTGGATCTCGGAGTTTGGAGTGTCTGGTTCATCTATGTCATACGCCTGAATTTGGAAAGGAAAAGAGGTTTTTATTGAACAAATGTAATTTAATTGAATATTAATTAATTTTACTTTTCAGTTGTACATTTGGATATCCAAGGCTGCGTCATATAATTAAGATTTCACAAGTCAAATCACAGGTCAAATCACAAGACAACAAGACAATCACAAGACAACCTTAAGTCAATCACAAGTCAATCACAAGTCAATCACAAGTCAATCACAAGTCAATCACAAGTCCATCACAAGTCAATCACAAGTCAATCACGAGTCAATCACAAGTCAATCACAAGTCCTCACAAGTCAATCACAAGTCAAATCACAAGACAATCACAAGTCAAATAACAAGTCATATCACAAGACAATCACAAGTCAAATAACAAGTCTATCACAAGTCAATCACAAGTCTAATCACAACACAATCACAAGACAATCACAACTCAATCACAAATCCATCACAAGTCAAATCACAAGACAATCACAATTCAATCACAAGTCAAATCACAAGTCTATCACAAGTCAGTCACAAGTCAATCACAAGTCAAATCACAAGACAATCACAAATCCATCACAAGTCAAATCACAAGACAATCACAATTCAATCACAAGTCAAATCACAAGACAATCACAAGTCAGTCACAAGACAAATCACAAGTCAATCACAAGTCAATCACAAGTCAAATCACAAGTCAAATCACAAGTAAATCACAAGTCAAATGACAAGTCAATCACAAGTCAAATCACAAGTCAGTCACAAGACAATCACAAGTCAGTCACAAGTCAATCACAAGACAATCATAGTCAATCACAAGTCAACGACTAAGTGACAACTTGTAACTGACTTGATTACAAATCTGCAACTTTAGAAGGGCTTGGCATACTTCGAAGAAAAAAATCTGCAATTTCTTACCATAACTTGACCGACAAACTCATCCCTCAAGCCCTCCAACACTAAGAAATTTGTCGGCAATGATGAGTTGAATACAGGGTTGTTATCGTTGACGTCCAATATGGTAATCAGCAAGGTGCAAGTAGAACTCTGCAGATAGAATGCACATCAGAAAGATTTAGATAAAGAACCCTAAATAAATGCTGTGCAAAGCAGTACTGTAATAACAAAGTACGCAGCCCTATATGTTGGATCTCTGGATTGCAACGGGCTCCGTGCACAAGTACCCCCTCAACGGTAAGAAAGGGAGAGTTGGGGGAGACCACTGGGAGAGACATTCCAACGCATTACTACGGACGTGTGACGCTCATATGAAGATGCTTTCGCTTTGTGCACATTCAGAATAAAAGAAGTTGTGCGCACTTCACACCCTGCTCTCGAATGCGGTATAAAAAACACCTCTCATTGCGCATGGAGCCCATCGACCTTACTGTCTTGTCAATCAAACAGTGGGCACTGACCAATCGGAACATGACGTTAGTCAGGTGACCGAGGTAGCTCAGTCAAACGTAGTCTGTGAGGAATGTACACTAACTAAAGGGGATTGGGGCCAAATCCAAAACGGGCCAAATCCAGAATTGGCCAAATCCAAAACGGACCGAATCCACAATGGGCTAAATCTAATATGAGCCAAATCTTATACGGGCCAAATCCAATGTTGGACAAACCCAATACGGACTAAATCCAAAACGGGCCAAATCCAGAACAGGCCCCGTTTTTTTTTTTTTTTTTTTGCAGCATTCATCGTATGTTAACCAATCACATCACACACCCTAGCATGAATGTTTATCGCGCTGTGTAGATGGTAGACACAATAGGTTCTCGAAGCGTTTTCCCGTCAATTAAACCTATCCCAACCAACAAGAACATTCCGCCAAATCCAAAACGGGCCAAATCCAGAATTGGCCAAATCCAAAACGGACCAAATCCACAATGGATAAATCCATTATGAGCCAAATCTTATGCGGGCCAAGAAATCCAATATTGGCCAAATCCAATATGGACTAAATCCAAAACGGGCCAAATCCAGAACAGGCCGGGTTTTTTTTTTTTTTTTTGCAGCATTCATGGTATGTTAACCAGTCACATCACGCACCCTAGCATGAATATTTATCACGCTGTGTGTATGGTAGACACAATAGGTTCTCGTAGCGTTTTCCAGTCAATTAAACCTATCCCAACTAACAAAAACATTCCGTGAAAATGGACATATCGTTTCGGTTTGCGGAAACACCATGTGGTAATAACTACTGCTTAGAAGATATTTAGATCTGAAAAGAACTTGTCCTGCTTATTATCAACTTTGGCTAAGTAGTTTTTTTGTTCTGATATGAACAGTCCTGCTTTAAGTTCTAAAAGAACTTGTCTTTGGTCTCAACGTTTCGACTAGCCTGCTCTAGTCATCGTCAGGATACTGAATGGACATAGGTTCAAACCACAGATCTTGCGATCCATAGTTCATTCCCCTATCCTCTAGGCCACTGTGGCAGCTCCACGAAAGCCGTTCTTTGAAATGCTTTAATGTACATGCATGACCGAGTGACAACAAGGATGTGACGACATTGTTATTTTCTTATAAATATACATCGAACTAGCTGAATAATCATGTCCATTGAAGATAATAATAATAATAATAATAATAATAATAATGAAAATTTATATAGCGCCGGTATCCACTGCTTGCGGCGCTCATGGCGCTGCACTGCACAACAACCAGAAAACAATAAGAATAAAGAAGCACCTGGTTGACTCAACCCTCTACACGTCAAGATGTATCGTCACGCTAGCAAGACGGCATCATCAAGCAAACAGGTAGAAACCAAAGTCAACCAAATGCTTCCCTATGCAGGTAGGATTTTAAACTGTTCTTGAATGTGCCAAGTGAATTTGAAAGTCTAACAGTTCCAGGTAGGGAATTCCAAAGTCTTGGTGCAGCAGTTTGAAAGCTTCTCTCCCCCCATCGATGATTAGCCATGTTTTCCTTAAGGAGTTTTTGTTGTGAGGATCGTAAGCCCCGATGCCCCGGGGCATAGAGCTGGACAAGTTTTCTTAAGTATGCTGGAGCGTCACCTTGTAAGGTCTTGAAGATGATGAGCTGCAGTTAAAAGAAACACTGCTCACAGGCCCTACTGAAAGCTTTGATAGCATCAACAGGATTTTTTTGACAATGAGCTAGAAGGACAATTTAATAAAAATCAGAACAACAAAAGCAATGGCTACTCACGAGTGAGCCGTCGCTGGCCTGTATCGTGAGCTCATAGCTCGGTACGTCCTCTCGGTTGAGGGTGCCAACAACTTTGACCTCACCACTGGAATAAAAAAAAAAAAATCACGTTAACAAAAAAACTTGAAACAGATTAACGTAACCGACAAAATTTAAACGATCTCAAATTAAATCAAGATTTCTTTTGGTTATACTATTTTGGAAAAACATTTAACACTTGAAGCAGCTTTTGCTAAATAATATTTTTTTCTATGATTCAAATTATATCAACCAAGTCAGGTACTGTAAATTTAAAAGAAAAATGTTATAAAATATCAAAAATATTCCCTTCAAAATTGTTAATTTTCTTTGGAAGAAAATGCAGTTTCTGTTTTCTCCTACGTACCTTGTGGAGTCAACCGTGAAGACATTGTCAATGTTTCCAGCTGTGATGTTGTAGTATACAGTGTCCTCTTCGTCCTGGTCTGTAGCCTGGCAAAATTACGCCAAAATGTTGACTTATTAAAGGTGTCGTTCCAAGCGCAATATAATCTTCAACGTTCAAGTCTTTGAAGACAATTTAGACACAACTTTTTTTTATTTTGGGCAAGGCTTCATTGTAATCTCTATTACGTGAAAGTGGCTGTTTCTGATTGCGTGAAAGTTTTAGCTCAGTGGAAACTAAAAATGTAAAAAAAAGCTGAGAAAACATTTGCCCAGGCCCCCCCCCCCCCTTGACGACTGGCCTGGGTCACTCCCAACAATTCAGACAACAACACTGCAGAATCCAATCATTCCAAAACACTCTCTTCCCAAGCGTCATATGCCTGCAAAACGTACTACCCGCCTCAGTCGTGTCCGCCTCATCACTGGAGGCCTTCCAGAACTGCCTGAGCCCATTGTCCCGCGTTAATTCCGCCCCGTTGTTTTTTACTCGCACTTTTGTCATAAGTTGACCAACAAGATACGAGGGAGACGGATGCGACTGCCAGGGCACTGCCTGCGACACCCAGAGCTGCCTGCCAGCAAAGTCATCATCTGGGAACCAACTCATGGGAGGATGAATCGTGGTTGCCGTACAAAATCACGGTGAAGACCCTGATGGAGGACAGTGGCGCCGCGACTGCAGATGATCTTGAGACACTGATGATGGAACAGGACGTGGGGCGTGTCCGTCATCGTGCCCGACACAAGTAGTAAAACTGCAGTCGACCAATGATGATGATGATTGCCATCACCTTTTCTGGATTTATCTTTTCATGAAATTTTGTTCCCGCATTGCACCCTTCGCACGGTATCCAGTATCATAATCCTCGGGAGATCTAGCTCCTAAGAGGGCTGTACTTTCTTGGAAGAGGAGGAATAATTTTCACAGGGTATTTGGTATCATCCCTATCTTCAGTTTGAGATATATTTTTCTCATGAAAATCAGTAGGCCTGTTCCCCATTTTTACCGATTTTCCTTATGGTTATAAGTAAGATTTGAGGCTTTGCATGGTGGAGATACTAAATAATGACGTTCCGGTCAGTATGCTCTGACCGTCTTAAGACGGTCAGGGCATACTGACCAGAACGTCGAGTTTATATCTCTGGTTCTTTTCAGAACCATTCACTAATGGTTATATGTGTGGTCGTTGATAAGAACCATTGCTTCAGACCCTGAACCGTTTCAAACCATACGTTTATAACTGCTCCACTATCATCCCCTTAACCAAAACAAGACACATGTAGGCCTACAGTGTTAGCAGTTAACTGTGGAATCTCTTACCACGACGGTTGTCACAAATGCCCCCACGGGCAGACCCTCGCTAGCCGACGCCTCGTAGACGGACTGCTCGAAGCTCGGCGCGTGGCTGACGTTGGCCGGCACAACGGTTATCTCAATGTACACTACCTCAGACCTGGGATAGAAACGGCACAAAAACAGGTTTACGTTTTGGATGGAAAATGGCGTAACTTCATGTGTGCTGCAATATTTGGCGTAAGTTTTCACACACTTTGCAGCATTTTAGTTACAACAAATTTTACAAAATCTCACAGTTGGTAAGTCCATAGCCTGCGCAAAAAAGGCGGATACAAGACACTCACAGCTTTGTGTTTGAATTCAATAGACAGGATGCTGCCACCATTTCAGTCATGTTCCCTGTATCTAATAACAGTACTGAATGATGAAGTCTTTGTGCAAAAAGGAACCAGACTACCTACTCTTCCTTCCAGCCTCGCTTTGGTTACATTGATTTGAATGGGAAAAAAATCAAGATGGCCGCTACGTGATAATTTTCCATTGTTCTTTTACACATTTGTATACCACTACTCACGAGAGGATATTCCATACCATAGCTAAAGGGGTGTTTAAAAAAAAATGAAGTAAAAGTGCTCAACAAAATCGTTGGAAATGTATAATTTTTAACTTGTGTCGCTTTTTTGACTCAAAGGTATTTGTAAATGGGAGTACAAGTACATTTAATAACCTATCAGGGGAATGCGCGCTGATAACCGACTTCAGCCGAACTGGCCAATCATTATTTATCCCCTTATTGTTAAAGAAGTCACATGACTGTCTATGCTGTGGAATCGTGGTGGATTGTCGCGTCGTGGGTGGCATGAGCATGGTTGCGATTATTTTACGTCGGGATGCCGCTTGTTTCAAGAGAATCACACAATTTCTCAGTTCTGTGACCTGCAGGGTTCTCCCCACGTACAAACGTGCGTATCGGCCCGATACGCTGGAATTGCGGCCCGATACGCCGACAAAAATGCCGATCACATTTTTCAGCCCCCGATACGCACAATATAATTATTATACAAGCCATTCAAATGCACAACATAATCGTTTCATACACCATTATTTCATCTTGACATGCAAAATCTTGACAAAAATCCCGCATTTCTGATGCATGCGTGATCAAAATGCACACGATGACGGGTCTTTCGCGTCAACCGCCAGCTATATATTAGCGCATACAGCACGGTACACTGGTTCCCTTCGCGTGCTAACAGTATCAATGCTATGATGAAGGACCGGAACCAGTGACTACTGCCTCGTGCGTGCATACATGATGATGATGTCGGCCGAAGTTGGATCGTAAAAACACCAAACAAACATCGATGGAGAAAGAGAATTTCTGCAAATTAATTCACAGAACGTGATCTTTATTTTCTGTGTATGTATTTTCCATTAAAATGACGAGATTGCAAAGCTCGAACTTGTGGCGAAACATCGTAGTGTGCTTCTTAGAAGCAGTAGGGCCGTACACAGTGCAGTAATGCACACTGATACTGCGCGATGTACGGCCGGCCAGACTGAATGTTGGCAGTGCCAGGGGCCGTGATCGATGTACGTTAAGCATAGTGGAATCAACCTCCTCAAATATATTTTTAATTAGGTGAGGCAAGTTTTAATCACTTCTGATGGTCAGTCTTGATAATTTTCGTGGTGCAAAGGAAAATAATCCAGGCACAAAACTACATGATTCCTTGTTCAATATGCTCCATTCAATCATGTGTTTTTATTCCTCCATGATTCAATCAGCAGCCCAAAAAAATGGCGAAATAATTTTTCCGACCTACCGACGCTATTTTGAAAGCCATGTAGTCGGAAGCAAAAGTGATTTTTTTCTTCACCTTAATTTCTTAATTTGAAACTTGCTTGTAAATATAATCCATACTTTCTAGATCAAGAAGGTTTAACACAGGTTTTGAAATGTTGATTTTTTTTTTTAAGTTAAAAACGTTGATATTTTTTTTCTCTAATTACAAAAAATATCACAAGATCTCCTCTAAATTTTAAGGAAAAATCTTCCTTAAAGACTCCCCAGATTTGCTCTAAAATGCACCAGAGAGCCTCTAAAGTTCAAAATTTTTCGGGGCCCTTAAGCAGGCCCCGAACCCCACGCCGTGGCTTCGCAGGTTGGTGAATCACAACAAAACTTCCCCCACAGGTTTGAAACAATCCTGGGGAGAACCCTGACCTGAGTATTATTTTTCTGCTTGATGCCGACGGCTCTGTCGTGGCGCAAGCAAATTGCGGGTCGACCTGAGGCCGGCTTTAGTATGTCGGCTGCTGGAACAGGTGTTAAGAACTGAAACAGGTGTTAAGGACTTACACCAAGGGCTGAGGGCTCTGGCCCCCGTCCACGGCCTCCATAGATATACTGTACTCCTCCCCCTCTAAGATGGTTCCGTTCTCCTCAAGAATGATGTGGACGGAGCTGTTGGTGGCCTGGGCTTGGCCAAATTTGGTCCTCCCGTCGTTGCTGATGTACTTGATGACAAACTCCACCGGTTCGTGTGGCGGTGAGTCCATATCTGTTGTCGATAGCTACAAGATAAAAAAACAAAGTACAGTTTATTTATTGCCCCTTAAAGTAGTCCGAGTATCACAATTGTCCAACGAAACTATCTCCGTAACAAACATCTGATATATCTCAGCAATGCAAATTTTATGTGACCTCGAGTGTCAGCCAATCAGAGTCGACTTTAGAAATTGTGACGTCATTGAGATCAGAAATGTGGACAAAGCTGTCGATTGGTCAATTTGGCTGCCATGTGTTTTGTAATACAACAACAGGTTACGATCAGAAATGCGGTCAGAAATTTGGACTAAGCTGTTGATTGGTCCATTTGGCTGCCATGTGTTTTGTAATACAACAACAGGTTACCGAAGACTCGATAGAAGCGCCTGCTGAATGGTCAGAATCTCGAGGTCAAGACGCAGTCTTGTTTTGCATAATTAATCTCCGAATCTGCTCGCATATCATAGACCCTTGCTGTGCAAGGGGATATTCCATAGACTTCCTTTTCCTGTATTTTTTTCGGGTTTCACTTAAAAAAATTCACGTTTCTTTATTTGCCGTTTGTTTATTAATACAAAAGTTCTTTATTTTGAATGAGATATCAAAAAACTATTTGCTCTATAAATTTTAAATGGTTTGAGGCCAGACTATTATTCAGGCAAACCTTTTCGCCCCAAATAAACACTTCTCTTCTTAGTCATGTTAGTTGGTTTCAGATGCCAACAAAATAGAAAAAAGGGTGGTTTTCTTATTTGTTGTATTAAAACAAACAATTGAAAATTTGCCCCCCCCCAAAAAAAAGATCCAAACTTTTGAAAAGTTTTGAAAAGCATGTCAAGACTTTTTGCAGCATAATGTATGGCTTTCCTTTTATACTGATTTCTTTTTGTTTTGTTCCTATATATTTGTTATCAAATTAATAATGTCAATAACTTACTGTCATGATAATAGTGCCCGCCTCCGCGTCCTCTTCCACTGTTGCGCTGTACCGGTTGTCACCGCTGCTGTACCGATTGGGAACAAACTCGGGAGCGTTGTCGTTCACGTCTAGGACCGTGATGGAAATGACCGCATCCTGACTTTGCAGCATGTCGAAGGTGTCATTTTCTACTGCGAGAGCCTGTGAGCAACAACAAATGAACAGTGATTTTTTTATTTCTAAATTCTGGTTATCAGCAAATCACAAGTCCGTTCACAAGAAGCAGGGGTACAGGGGCGGATCATGCCAGGAATTTTTGCGGGGGGGGGGGGTCATCAGCCCAAAAATTCTGAAATGTAGACAGCTTTTTTTCTCCACTAACTTGGCCTCCGTAAAATCAAAAAGTGGGGGGGAGGGATCTCGGACCATACTTTCAATGGAGGCGCGCTGTTCACATCCGACGATTATTAACACTACATTACAGAATAGTGTACAAATACCCCTTATCCGGTTCGTTAGTAAAAAGGTCATACACGCACGCGCATCGCTGATTACTCGCACCCATTGGATAAACCCTTACGTTGCGTTAGCTTCCGGTTCCAATGGTTCCAATGCTACTTAATGGTCAGTGGGCGTGGTTTAAACTGAACTGACGTCACACTAACGAACCGGATAACCAAGCTGGCTGTCCATATTTTGTGCATAGGCGGACATTATTACCAGCATTATTTTTGGGGGGGTGTCAGAGAGTGGGGGGGGGGGTTCACATTATTTTTTATGAATTTCTATAAAAACCTTGATTTTTCTACAGGGGGCAAAGCACATTTCCCCCCCCCCCACCCCCCAAAAAATCCCTGTACTTTTCCAGCATATTCTCAATTTGTTATTTTTCGAGGGTTGGCAGGAACATTTGCCACCCCCTACCCATTAAATTCACAGCAATATGACTTTGTGCCTCTTTTTCTTTGTTTTTTTTTGGTCCTTTTTTCCCAACCCATTAAATTAACAGCAGTATGACTTTGTGCCTCTTTTTCTTTGTTTTTTTGGTTCTTTTTTCCCTCTTTTTTTTGGGGGGGGGGGGACTGTCAGGGATTTGTGATGGACTTGTGAGGACTTGCCAGAGCTTGTGATTTATTTTGGTGGTAGTGTCTGCTGAGTACCAGTCACGTGCAACACACGCAGCATGACATTTTGGCTGGTAACCTGTCTTTTCTAAGCAAACAGTTTCTGTTCTCAGCAACTTTCAGTTGGTGTTTGTACACTCACCCTGATGGTGTAATTGTTCACCACTTCCCGATTCAGCTGGTTGCTACTGACGACGATGTACGCAAACGAGCCGTCCGGCCCGGCCTCCAGGATAAAATGTGCCGTGGCGTCGGACAAGAAATAGCTCAGCATGAGGGGACGACCCTAGAAGAGGCAAAACAGGATTAAGCAAGAAAGTTTATAAAGGGTTACAAACGTAAACTTTTTTCAGCCCCCGTTTCACGAAACAGTGCATAAAGGGCCTGTCACATTATATGCGATCTCATTGGAGACCTTACGGCGACCAAAAATATTTCATAAATTTAACAATCGCAGCGAGGACGCAAGAAAATGACAATTTTCTGTCTCAAAGAAGCTCAAGCTACGCTCATACTGTGCTCTTCCCGCGCTTACGATGCGCTCAACTTGCTCTCTATGCGCCCCTGTCAAGCTCAATTACTCGATCACTGCGCTCACACTACGCTCTGCTCGCTGTTGATACGTCCTAGTAGCTCGCGTCGCGCTCTCTATTCGACCAAAATACGCTCATGTGACGTCACTTGCGCTGTATAAATACCACGACAAAACGGTCAATACACAGTCCAGTTTCAAAATTATACTACAAGTTCATCGCAGTCGAGTTACTTTCTCATGGAGACTACATCGACTGCCTTGCGCCTATAGGCTGCCTCAATGCCACTTCAATGTCGCACGATTCACGCTCGCACAGCGCCCGAGATGCGTCATTACCGCGTCCTGGCCAGGGAGCAGAGGTGTTGCGATTGTTTTGAGCATGTTCAAAGACCTTGGCGCTCATCGGAGACCATTAAGACCCTCTGGCGCCCACCTGGCGACCTATAGTTGTCGCTGCGATGTAGCTATTTTTCAAGGACGCAGTGAGAGCGCATATAAGATCGCAGACAGTGTGACAGGGCCTTAACTTACGCTAGGGCTGTGCATCAGAGCCTGGTACCCCAGTTCCCGACTACTGATGTCAGGAACCGGTTCCAGATTATGGGATCGGGTACCCGTAACCAACTTTACAAATTACTTAGTAACTTCTCAGACAATGAAAGAGAAAGATTTTGAATGTCATTTGTGGTTAATTTTTCAAAATGAAAACCAGTCTACATGGAATAACAAGACAGATTCACATTCATGACGTTTGCGAATATGCAATTTACACCGCCAAGCTATAGGTTTTGATGAGGTAGTATTATCACGTGGACCTTTATAAACAATCTGACAGTAACTTCCGAGATATAAATTTTGGGGTTGGCTTTCTTTAATGGGTACCCGTTTGTTTTTTTCAATTGGATATCCGATCCCCGTTCTACACGTAAATGCACACCCCTAACTTACGCCATGCTTAAAATTTACGCAACAAATTTGATGCACAGCTGCACAATAAACTTACGAGCAATTTCACGAATCTTGACGTAGCTGAGCAGCGTTTTCAATAATTTAAACATCTTGGACAAGGATTACGCTGCCTAAAATAAATGCGTACGTCATAATTTGTTACAAAAGTCGCAGTGTTACGCACTTTGAAGCTTTCACGAAATAAGCGGGGCATATACACCGCCACTGTGCAGCTGCACAATAAACTTACGATCAATTTCACGAAACTTGGGATAGCTTCATTAAATTAAAATTTCTCGGACAAGGATAAAACTTATGCCACGTAAAACGGCTGCGTAAGTTTGCTGTAAGTTGCAGTGTTGCGCACTGCGAAACTTTCATGACACAAGTGGGGCGTACACCGTTTCAGCGTACTTCACGCTAAAAAGCGCCCTCTCTAGTTTGCGCACGGAAGCCATCGTCACAGTGAATAAGGAATTTTGATAAAGTTCACCTTTCAGCGTACTTCACGCAAAAAAGCGCCCTCTCTCGTTTGCGCATGGAACCCATCATCACATTCAATAGGAATTTTTATGAAAGTTGAATGAAATTCCCTCACCGGTTCCACGTCCATATCCGTTGCGTGCAGCTTGAGGGGAACCATGGAGTCCTTGGACATGCTGACTTGCGTGCCGACCCGCGAGTTCTCGTAGACGTAACCCTGGTAGGAATCCTGGGTGAAGACTGGGCGGTGCTCGTTGACTTCTTGGACGGTGACCTTCGCCGAGGTGATGGCGTGCAGACCGCCCTCGGACGCGCTCTCAGTGGCCTGTGAGATGAAACAATGAAACACGAACAAAAAGCTGAATATCATTTTGCCCAAATATTTTTCAATAGACATTTCTTTAATAATAATAACAATAGTAATTGGTATATATAAAAGCGCCTTGGCGAAAGAATTCAAAGCGCTGTAAACAACTTTCTAAACAGTCCCAGCCAGTCAATCCTCCTTTATGTTGGCTGGGAATTCTTAACTGTTGAAAGCAGTCAACTGATTGATTTTGACTGAAAGGACTATTGGCACAGAATTCCAAGATGGATAAAAAAAAAAAAGCCTCGTCGTTCTTACCATAACTCCAAGGGTGAACTCTTTAAAATCAGCCCTGTTGACAGGCTGCAGTAGGTACACCTCCCCAGTGTCTGGGTCCATACGGAAGTAGTTGATATACTCTGGAGGAAACCCTGCAATCACGAACACACAGATTATTATTATTATTATTACTATTAATCATTTCTGGCAATGAAACCAAGGATTCCTCAAAATCGCCCTAGGCACTGTAGCTCGCAAGCCTGAAGAAACCCGTGGAGAGAAGACAATGAGAAGAAATTACAATTTTAGAGGTGGGAGGAAAAGCCCAGAAGAATATTCTGGGAAAAACCCACGGAATCAGGTAGGGACTGAAAACCCAATCCACATAATTGGCCCAGGCGGGATTCGAACCCGGGTCACAGCGGTGGAAGGCGAGGAAAGTACCGCTACGCCAACCTGACTCCCCGAGTCAGGTCAATGTTGGATGATTTACAGTCTTTGCTAGCAAACAGAGTATCAAAATGTAGCTAACAACATATAGGATTGTGACATTCTTAAGTAAATACGTCGTATAAATTAAAATAATAAAAATAATAATATTGTGCTTATATGACGCTTTAAACCACAGATCTCAAAGAGCTTGACCATTTTTACCATACCAAAATTTAAGGAGGAAATCCCTGCGTGACAATGTTACACTGCCCGAAACAAATGGCAGGGAATACCAATCGCATAGTACATATGCATGTATGTCAGAGGTGGCAGCAAGTCATTTTTTGCGAGTCCAAGTCAAGTCACAAGTCATTGTTTGCAAGTCCAAGTCAAGTCACAAGTCATTAGGTCCAGTCACAAGTCAAGTCACAAGTCATTTGGTCTAAAAACAAGTCAAGTCACAAGTATCTTTGTCCAAGAACACGTCAAGTTGCACATTATTTTGTCCAGCTGTAATAAGCTAAAATAACCTGGCGTCAACTTACGAGTTATTTTGAACATGCCTCCTTAATTCCCCTTTTTCAATGTGTTGCTATTAAAATTCTTGTAGTTTATCAAATATCTGTCGGATATTAGCCCTTTGTATACTTTAATAAATTTACTTTACATTGTAGAAATAAATGTTGAGATGATATGAAAAACAGACTTCACTCACTCGATTACATGTAGTATACTAACACTTTATTATTCAATTTTCATGTATACTAAACGCCTACCAATGGGTTAGGCTATCCGGTATTTTACATGCAATTGACAAAGGCCTGCTTTCTTTTCGTGAAAGGTTCCTTTCAAAGTTTGTTCAACCATTACATTAAGCAAGAGACTTGGTCACTGAAAACTGTGTAGTTTGTTGTGACAGTCTTATTAAACACTTTTGAAACTAGTGGGACCTATTCATTTTACTGGATTTAGCGTCTGACTTGGGTTGGTAACAAGTCATTTTTTGCAACCCCAAGTCCAGTCACAAGTCATTGTTTGCAAGTCCAAGTCAAGTCACAAGTCAAAGCTGGTATTTACAAGTCAAGTCACAAGTCACAAAAATAGCGACTTGAGTCCGACTCAAGTCCAAGTCACATGACTCGAGTCAGCAACTCTGGTGTATGTGTTCTACAAACCCCCGAGGACCGACACACAAAAGGGAGAACAACAGATCCTTTCAGTCCTCCGGCGTTGGGTGTTTCGTTCAAAACGGTAGGTCTGTGTGCTTAGTCTATGGGAGAGTGTTATATTACAGGGACAAAGGGAAACACAAAGCATTGTCCTCGAGAGTATAGTAAAACAAGAGTGTATGGGAGCACGCATGCTATTTGAATTACACGCCCTTTGTTCGGGCACTAATCTTTAAATCTGCAACTTTTCAAACTGCATCATTTTTCATAAACCGTTGTCAATCTTGGATGATTTACAGTCTTTGGTAGCAAACGGGGTATCAAAATGTAGCTAACAAAATTCCCCACAGGTCTGCATAAATGACGTCAGCATAAGACGATCAGATTCAAAATTATGACCCCTCCAATGAGCGTGGACTTTCTTATTTTGCAGTGTTTATAGGACTCAAGTAGATTACTCAATGGTCGTGTGGTCTAGCGGTGGAGCACAGGATTCGTGATCGAGAGGTTGTGGGTTCGAGCCCCGCCGTGGCCATGCATGTTGTGCCCTTGAGTAAGGCGCTTTACCTCAATTACTCCTCTCAACCCAGGTGTTAAATGGGTACTGGCATTGTTCAATGCTGGGAAGGTAACAGACTTGCTGTGGAGGAGGTGTGGCGATCCCCCACAGCAGCATTTCATGGACTCGAGTCTGGCCCAATCGCTAACGAAAGAGAGATGGGCACTCCATTCCTGTGAATACAGGTTCGTCCCCTTTACCTTTTAGATTACTCAACAAGGAGAAATATAAGGATGGAAGGGGGTAGTTAGAACTTTGCACGTGTCAAACACCCAATGCTTACCTGCAGATAAACTGTAGTGTATCGGTCCATCTGTAGACACGTCTAGGTCTGCATCAATGGCGCTGATTGGACCAGGCTCAAAGACTAAGGGACCGGTCACATTCTACAAGAGAAAAAAAACACAATCAGGGTTTAGTTTTAGCCTCATAAAAGACAGTGGTAGTGGTTACGGTGTTCGACCCATAGGCCATGGTACATGGCTTGAAAACCTACTTGTGTCCTTGGGCAAGACAGTTTACAACAATCGCCTCTCTCCACCCAGGAGTACAGAGAAAAAAAAAAACGCATTCATTCCTTTTTAGTTTTATGACATGTTTGTAGGCTGTCGTGAGCCAATGTAGCCCATCAGGCCGGCGTTTATCTCTGGCTTCTTTGGCATGAAAGGACTGAGAATATTTACACTCCCCCTGGATGGGATGCTAGTCCATCGCAGGTTGCTCCCCAGCTAATGCCGGTACCCATTTATACTCCTGGGTGGAGAGAGGCAAGTGGGGATAAAGTGGCTTGCCCAAGGACACAACATATGGCCAGCAGCTGGATTCGAACCCCTGACCCTGATCATGAGTCGCGAACCCTAACCACTAGGCCACACTCCCACTTTAAGAAAGTGACTGCTCGATAAATTGTTGCAAGTCTTGAGTACTTGGTTGGTTCTTCTCCTAAGGACTTCAACAAGGGAGTATAACTAGGAGGCCAGGAACACCGGGGCAAACCCCTTCTCTTAGCGATAAGTGTTACTGGGTTCTTTTACGTGCGTTAGGCCTTATACAACACACGGGACCTCCGGCTTAACATCCCATCCGAAGGACGAAGGGCACAAGTGTCCGGGCCCGGGCTCGAACCCACGCCACTGTTGCCTCTGAAACACCAGAGCATGAGTCCGATGATCTCTTAACCGCTAGGCCATGACACTCCACATAAAGAGTATGGTAATGCATGGGCATGAGACATATGTGAGATCACTCACTGTTTTTTCTAGGATGGTTGTGGAGTAGGTGACCGGCTCGCAGTTTCCTCCGGTGAAGTTACAGGGCAGGAACTGTGGTGGGAGGTCCTCTCCATCGATGACATTAATCCGCAGGATCGTAGTGTTGGATAGGGGCTGCTCTCCGTTATCCTGACATGAAAAAGGTGTGGGAAAATATTCCTTAAAGCAGGGTTCGACCTAAAGGGTGCATGCCGGTAAATAGGCCAAAAATCCGTCCGCCGAGCTCATGAATAAAAGTTAATATACCCTCAAAATATTCTATATTAGAGAGTTTTGAGAGCCATGAAATTGGGGAATTGAAGAGATATGGTAATGAACCTCTGGCCCGGACTTGGGGCTTCCAATTCTGAGCATTTTGGATGATATTGGGCTCGAAAGTGGCGCTATTTTTCCGTGTTGTGGAGGGATCGTTTTTCAAGATAGCTACTTTTCCGCTCTGGGGAAAAGAGGGGTGGTCTTCCTTGGGTGAGAATATCTCGCAAAGTCAATGGTCAAACCCACCAAAAAATGAAAAGAAAATGAAAGATGACACATTGATCATCATTTTTCTGTGCAGCTTGAATACCTGTGAGAGTTCTGAGTATTTTAAAAAGAATTTTGAAGTATGCGCATTTAGCACTAGTGTCTATGGGAATTTTTATATTTGGTTGCACCCTGTACTCTTTTTTGTTCACTAGCCAGCCGGGCTACTGAAACAGACTCTTAACTAGCCTGCGGGAAGTTTCAGTAGCCTGCATGTTTGTCTTTTATGGAGTTTCTCATAAACAACAATGTTCAATCATGTAAACAATGTTCACACATGTAAACGTGCATCCTGAGGCAATCTCGTCAGTGTTTTTAATAAACAGATCTAATAATTTAACCCTAAACAGTTAATAAAATTAGACACAAATTGATACAGGTTTGCTTTCTCAATTTAATGATTTATTTCTTCCTGTCCTTTCATCTTTGCCGTAGCCAAATAATTTTTGACTCGCCAGCCGGGCTATTCAAGGAATAGTTTGACTAGCCTGCCGCTGTTTTGACTAGCATTTGGCTAGCGGGCTACCACCAAAGTCAAACCAGCCTTAAATTTAAAAAATGCACCCGTAAAACTAATACTCTGAATATATATATTCGCTTGTGTACATATCCACTTGTATCGCTCTACAAAATCATTTGTATCTTGTTTATTCCGCCATTGCGGAAGAAACTAACAATCAATTTCACAAAACTTGGCATCGTTGCGCAACGTTTAAAATATTTCACTCATCTTGTACGTGGATGATAATAACAGGGTTTCACTGCGGCCGTTTCGTGTATGGTTGCTGATTGGACACAAAACAGTCGTTGAATCAATGTGTAAACTTTCATGAAATGGGCTGCCGGGAACTGCTAGAGTTTAAGAGCGTAAGAAATCTGCAAACCTTGAAATTACAGTTCTCCCTCCCCACTTTAAAAGAATCATTTGGGGTTTTTTTTTGGGGGGGGGAGGGGTTTAAACTTACCCTGGCACTAATGAGAACATCCCACGTCCGTTTGGTCTCGTAGTCAAGAGGCTGTAAGAGCCAGACTTCACCTCGTCCGCCGTTTTTTATCGTGAAATAACTACTCGCATCCTGGATAAGAAACCACGCATAATAAGTTATTCTTGAATATTTTGGAAACAATTACCCATTCCTATTTGTCAAGAGTCCGTCACGTGGGTAGTTTGAACAGGTTGATAAAACACCGACTGGTTTTAAACAATTTTATCCGGCGCCGCAGCATTCTACGCCACATCGCTCACCAAACTCCATATAAGGAGACCTTTAGTACTACTCGCGCGAGGCACATGCCATAAATATAGCTAGCGGGGTGCTTCACAAAACGAGAAGTAAACTTGTTGGACAAAACTGTTGGAAATTAACAACGTTTAATTTGTTTTGATTTTCTGACCGAAAGGTGTTTATGATTGGGAATAAATATGTGCTTGGCCGGTATTAAACAAGTACATTTAAAACCGGCAACGGGCCTGGTCCCTGATAAAGGCCCGAGCTGAAGGCAAGGGCCAGCTAAACATTTCATAAATGCCATCACACTGTATAGTTACAATGCACATTGTACACAATGCAATACATTGTAATACAATGTATTACATTGTAATACAATGTAATACATTGTATACAATTGTAATACATTGTATCAATTTTGAGTCTTACCGGATCAGCTGGGTTGTATTCCACACTGTATATGACCTGACCGTTACTGTTCAAACCATCCATGTCCACAGCACTGATGCCGTTGAAGATGATCGAGTCCACTAGCGTTAGCTGTAAAAACAATGCAGTGTCAATAAGGGCAAGTCAACAATTTATTGACTCACTGGCCGACTGTCACTTGTGAGTCGGGCAGTTCTATCATATAGGAGTACCGCGTAAGCCAATAAATGGGCATGATGTTTGAAGTCATGCACTGTTGTACATTGTAGGTGGGTTCGAACACTGACGGGGAACAACACAGGGCAAGACACTTTACTACAATTGCTTCTCTCCACCCAGGAGTATAAATGGGTACCTGTGAAGGAAGAGACCAAATTGCGCTGATGTCAAGCTGCTGCTGAAAAACTGGTCTCATGGCCTCATGCACTGGGATAGTAACTGTGAAACGCTTTTTGTTCTTGGGCAAGACACTTTACAACAATTGCGTCTCTCCATCCAGGAGTATAAATGGGTACCTGTGAGGGTATATTATATTAATAATTGTGAAGCGCTTCAAGACCCTTAGTATAAAGCGCTATATAAGCACCACATTGAACTACTGAATACTATGTGTGGGCGACAGATCTCGCTTATTATTGCTATATATATATATATGAGTGTGACACGCCTTATTGGGGCGACAAATTGGTGCCTTTTGTTGAAACGACCCTCAAGAGAAGGAATTTTATTGTCCCAAATGGTCTAGATGGATTCCTCGTGGTCCAAAACATAAGTATACCAAAATCCGTGGAGGCAGGATATTAAGGTAAACTTTAGGTGCCATTTTACATGTTGTAGGCTCGTGCACAAGACTATGGGAAAGTAGCCATATTATAGCATTCGGTGGAATTATTATTATTATTATTATTATTATAATAAAATGGGCCGCAAATGTTGTGACGCATACCTCTGACAGGTTGGTTTGGTAGGGTAGACCCACAAACATTGGCCAGTTGTCGTTGATGTTTAATATATTGATGCTGATCCGGTAATCGCTATGAAACTGGAAAACAAAAAATTAATAAAAAGTCCTCAAGAAGGTTCAGGATCTACAGGTATACATACGGGTCTCTCCATGAAGTTGGGATGTGCTTGTGAGATTTAAACACATTTTGAGATTGGCTATATGGGGTCATCAGTGTAACTAAATTGTTACTGATTTTCAAAGTTGATTAAAGAAATTGACTGGAGCGGGGTTTGAACCTGCGACCTCCGGATTGCCGTTCCGGTGCTCTACCAACTGAGCTATCCAGCCCTATGTTGGTGGTGTCCCAACTTGTTGTTGTTAATTTTGATTGTGATTGACTGTGATCGTATACATGTCGGATGAGGTGTATACATGCAAAGGTTTTGCGGTATTCGGAACGGATGACGGATAAACACACAGCGAGCGAGGCCAGAAATATCTGTCTGTGACCCGCTCGCAGCGAGCGAGGCCGGAAATATCAGGGTGTGCTACCCACAGATAATGGCCTAAACCTGTGTGGCATCGAGGTTCGTGAAATACATGTACAATCCCGCGTCTGGGTCAGGTCAATATCAAAATAATCCTGGCGCGAACTGGTTAAGAAAGTTTCAGCACTATGATTTGGATCATTTTCAGCATGAAAATTTAAAGGAAAAAAAAACAATGTATTTTTAGGATGCTTCTGGGGTGATTGTCAATGTTCAGTTACTGTTCGATTGGTGCTTTGCGATAAGGATTAGTGCCTACGTACCGGAAATGGCAAATTTAAGGCGTTGCATGTAAGTTCAAGGTTCAGCCTCGTTGGTTGATTTTCCATCTACAAAAAAAAAAAGGGAAAAGGAAAGCGTTATTCACAAATGAAGGAACAGAATCATGGGCAAGGTGCTAATTTTATTTTTAAAAAAATTATACTTCCCATATTCAGGTGCGGTTCTAGAACCAATATTTTGGGGGGCTAGCAGGGTGGATCCAGAATTTTTTCAGGGAGGCGTGCTGAAATGTAGACCAGTTTTTTTCCCCAGACACTTAGGCCTCCGAAAATCAATAGGTGGGGGGAGGAGGGAGGGGGGAGGGGGAGGGGGAGGGGAGGGGGGGGGGAGGGGGAGGGGGAGGGGGGGAGGGGGAGGGGCTCATGCCATATTTTTAATGGGGAGCGCCAATAAATCCTAAAATCATTCACACTGTATTAACTAAAAATGCACCCTTGTCACGACTATTTCTTCTTTAGGGGGAGACCGTTCGCATGTACATCACAATCCTTCTCTTTGCTAATGCCATTTTTTTTTTATGGAATTTATTTTGGGGGGCTAGACAAAATTTTTGGGGGGCTAAAAAAAACCTTCAAACCCATTGAAGCGTTGTAGCCGACAGCAGTACTACATTAACAACAGGCTTAGTTTACGGAACGGTGCAAAACTATTTTTTTAAAATTTATACTCTCCATATTTCTGTTGGTACAGTTGTCAGAAAAGCTTTGGGAAAATCACAAACCATTTTGAAGAATCACTACCCCCAAGGCCCTGGTTATTCAACACAATATTGTTTACAGTTTAGCGCGCTGACCGGCCATCCTAAACCGACACTCGCCCACTGAAGCGTTGCAGCCGACAGCAGTACTGCATTAACAACAGGCTTAGTTTACGGAACGGTGCGAAACTATTACAAATTGTGACAATGACGAACAAAAGCCATATTTTCAATGGGGAGCGCCAATAAAATCCTAAAATCATTCACACTATATTAACTACAAATGCACCCTTGTCACGACTATTTCTTTAGGGGGAGACCGTTCGCATGAACATCACAATCCTTCTTTTTGCTCATGCAATTTTTTGTTTACGGAATTTATTTTTGGGGGGCTAAAGCCCCTTCCCCTAGCCCCCCGTAGAACCGCGTCTGCCCATATTTCTGATGGTACAGTTGTCAGAAAAGCTTTGGAAAATCACAAACCATTTTGAAGAATCACTACCCCAAGGCCCTGGTTATTCAACACAATATTGTTTACAGTTTAGCGCGCGGACCGGCCATCCTAAACCGGACCGGCCATCCTAAACCGACACTCGCCCACTGAAGCATTGCAGCCGACAGCAGTACTACATTAACAACAGGCTTAGTTTACGGAACGGTGCGGAACTATTACAAATTTTTTACAATGACGAACAAAAGCCGAGCTTGATGTGACTAGACCTCCCTGTATCGACCCTGGGACAAACCTCACATCCAAATATGTATCAGTCAAGGTTAGGTACAGATACGGTGATAGTTGTCTGCTACCGAATGCATTAACTTCTGCTGCCAAAGGTATTAAAAATCGAGCTTTCTGACAAAAGAAGTGACGTTTTTCCTGGGGAAATACTGCACTGGTCTTGTAAACAACCATTGTTACGGACCTGTCAGTTTTATCTGATGCGTGCAAACAAGATGAAGTGTTACTGCGCGCGTCTGTTAAAGTTAACAAATGTTCGTTTGCATGACTGATCATGATTAACGTTCAGGAAAAATAATAAAATGAAAAAGAGAGAAAGTTACCAAGCAGGATAAATTTTAATGGGCGCTTCAACAAAAAGTTTTTATTAAAATGTTTGTTCACATGACTGACCATGAGTTATGTTCAGGAATAAAAATAAATTGAGAAAGAGAGAAAGTTAACAAGCAGGGTAAGTTTTAATGGGCACTTCTGCAAAAGTTAGTAAATGTTCGTTCGCATGACTGACCATGAGTTACGTTCAGGAATAAAAATAAATTGAAGAAGAGAGAAAGTTAACAAACAGGATAAGTTTCAATGGGCGCCTTTGCAAAAGTAAGTAAATGTTCGTTTGCATGACTGACCATGAGTTATGTTAAGGAATAAGAATAAATTGAAAAAGCATGACAGTTTACAAGCAGGATAAGTTTTGGGGAAAGCTTGGCTTCTTGTTTTGAAAAGTTATGTGGAAATATTGACACGAAAAAAAGTTAAAGAGATGAGCCTGCTTAAAAAGACAATGAATGTTTAAGTATTTGCGTGAGAGAATGTCACCACAAAATGAGCCGAACTTTGCAAATCGTTATTTTGAAAAAACAGTGAGACAAAGTTATAGAAAAAAACTTAAAGAGTTGGTGATTTTTTTTTTTTCCAGGTGAATCTCACCCTCTAAAACTGCCCGTATCTTTCCCTAAATGATTTGGTTCCATCAAACATAGATAAACACTATTCTTCAAGATAATACATTTTCTTTTGCTGTAATTTTCAGAAATTGATGGATTTTGGGGGTTAGTATTTTAAAGCCAATGTTTTTTTATGACCAGTGCTTTATTATCAGAAGTAATAAGATGGAATTTTGCGTCGGGGTGATATAAATCAAATGAGGTTTTGCCCTTCACCGACGTTTTTTAAACACTGTATACTCAGTGTGTTTATAATAGTTTATGCGGTACCCGCTGCTATGTACATCAGATTCGAACCCGCCAACCGATCCCGTTAGCTCGGTGGTCGAGTGGTATAAGACATCTGCACTAGAAAGCAGGAGATTGTGGGTTCGAGTCCCACCCGAGTGATTTTTTCCAACTTTCACTCGGGAGGTAACACACTGAGTATACAGTGTTTAAAAAACGTCGGTGAAGGGCAAAACCTAATTTGATTTATCAGAAGTAACTTTTTCGTCGATGACGGTTCAATTTGCTCATCCCTTTGACGGTTGTATAATGCTTACTACAAACGACGCTCATCCTTTTGACGGTTGTATAATGCTTACTGCAAAACACACCGGCGACCCCTAACATCGATCGCTGCATGCAAATTTTATCCGACGCGCTTTGCGTACAACTTAGTTGCAGCTGGCACGTGTGAACTTGATCGGCGAGTTTAGAATATTTGAATATTCGGTCAAACGCAGTTTCGAAGAATCGAATACTAAATTATTCAAAAATGGACAGGCATAAAGTCAATTTTCTGGGGCAAGGCAAGACTTATGCAAATCTAATTCACAAGTGGCGGGGAGTCTGTCAGTCTGTACAAAGACGACTATAGACCATTATCATATTGCGGCCATCTTGATTTTTTCCCCCTTCATATCAACGTAACCAAAGCGAGGCTGGAAGGAAAAATAGTCTGGTTCTTTTTTGCACAAAAATCATTATCATTCAGTACTGTTATTGGATACAGGGAACATGACTGCAATGGTGGCAGCATGATCAAGGTCTTACGCTGGCCCTCTGGGACCAGCACATTTTCTTCATACTCACATCTGGATCTACCGGCTGCGCTAATAAAAGAGTTTTCTCGGAGACGTTGAGGAACACAAACTGCGACTGCTCACTTTGCGTGATGGTGAGACTGATGGTTCTATTCTCGCCCGCCGGTTGTCCTTTCAAGGGCAAGACGCCTATTCTATCCCCTGAAATGGTCGAGAAATAACGGAGACAAAATCTTCAAGGTATCAACACCATTTGCAAGAAATACAGGGTTGTTAGTTTCGCGCAGATCTGGATCGCGATCAGTGATCCGACACATCAACTGCAGATCACGTTTGAACGGATCCTGCTCATTGGATTCGCAAAATCAAAGATGGCGACGTGCGCAGCGGACGGAGAGAAAAAGTGTATTTGTTAGTATATTTGAAACATCAAATGCGCTTTTGTGACAATTTATCTTCACAATTCTTTTAGAATGTATTATCATGATTAAAAGTTGTACTGATTTACTTTTTCTTGAAATTATAGATAGCTTATCATAGAAATAGCCCTTCTGCCTACAGAATCTGAAGCAGACGACATTCGTTGGCGCCTAAAGGATTGGACGCGAGAGAGTAGTTGATCTCAATCAGGATCTGGATTGAAACAAACAGGCCTGTCTTTTGCCGAATTCAAAGAACAAGGCAACAAACTAACCTGTTGGAATTTCAACTCAGTAGATATACTTTTTTCAAGAAAAATTGTGAGAATGCATCTTCATTTTTTTTTCTGGATGCAAAGCAAGGTTTCCGTTGAAAGCCCTCCCTTCCAAAATGTTCATTAATACATTTTGACTTGCGCCCTCTTGTGGTATGATCCCAGTTTGTTACTCGGGAAAATAATTCTCATTCACGGATATGTAACCGATTGGAAAATAAACTAAATTCGGTCAAGTGGGGCAGTATTTGATGAAAAAAAAGCCATCTTTTCTTGCGATGCGATGGTTTGATTCTAGCCATCGTGAGGAAGTGATGGTAATTCTTCTTTCCTTGAAATTGACAATATACTAGGTGTAACGATTTTACAGGATGCTTGATCCTGTTATTTACTTACAATCGAGTAGGCTAATTTAAATTTTGGCAGTTTGGTTTTGAATGTTTGCTTATGTTGTCAATCAACTTTAAAGACAAAGAAATTGCCACTTATTTTATGCATATACAACGTGTCTCAAAAACATACTCAGTCAAACAAACTTTTTTTCTGAGGAGGCTAAATCGTTTGTTTTTTTTAGGTAAAAAATTTACCATGAGATGATTGAGTGTTTCTTTACCCGTGACAGGTGTTTTGTTCTGTGTGATTTTGACCTTTTGTTTAAAAGTTTACGGCAAAGCTTGTAAAGACTGTCAAAATTTGCTTGAGCAATTTTTCAGATTAGCTGGCATCTAGTGTAAGGCGTTCACACACTTTCTTGGTATGTGAATGCCTTTCATTAGATACCAGATAATCTGAAAAGTGGCCCAACTTGGAATTCGAGTCATTTCATTTAATGAGCTGTATCTCTGGACTGGGGTGTCCAAATGAGATGGGATAAAGACCATTGTGTAGAGTATTTACTACAACTTCAAATTCTATAGATAAGTTTTGCAAAAAGAGAGTGCTCAAATTTTTACTATTTAGGCCCCCCAAAAAAGTCTCCGGTTTCTGGTATGGAGCTTGCCCAAAAAGTGGTGCGGCGACGTGGCTTTTTTTTTTTTTTTACCTGATTTTTTTACTTCAAATGTCGGCTGATGACTGCAAATGGTGCCCGACTAAACTTAGTGCAAATATATGGGAGTCCAGAGAGGCCACATAAAGCTTATTCTCGACCATAACCCAATCTAAAAACACGTTAAAATTGTGCAGCAGCAGGATTCCAGTCAAACCAGTGAGTTTGGCGGTTTTGAGAAATCATCTTTCATTGAAAAAAAAAAACTTTTTCATTTTGCCAACGCGCATGGCTACGGCGACGCGCGCGCGCATACCAGAAACTGGAGACTTTTTGTTTTTGGCCTTATGGATTGACTCAGCTACATTTTTATTGGCACACATTGTAGTGACGAATTTTGGGAGATTTAGAAAAGATTTAGGGACAGCAAATGAAATTCTTACATGGTAGCGCATCCTCCCGGATGCTGAATGAGATGATGTTTGAAGTTGTGTTGTCGTTTCTGAGGCAGTCCAGATCTTTAAGGAAGTAAACAACGAAATCACAACGTTAATAAAAAAAAATTAAAACAAGGTTTTTAAAAAGTTGCTAACAATTGCATATAAAGCCTCATTTCACTCTTTCAAAGAATGTTTGACTGGAATGAAGACCAGCACTCCAATGGCATGTTTTTTGGGGACCATAATTTTGTACCCCAAAAAATTTCTTCTCGCGGTAATTACATGAAAACTGCAAATTCTCAAGGTGTACTTGTGTGAGAATTTTGGTCATTTTATTAATTTTAGGTTTAAATTGTGACATTTTCCTGTCCCTGTTACCTTGGTACTTTGTAATTTGCCATTCAAGTATCATTAAGAATGACTTCAAACGATTCTTTATTTGTTGGGTAGGTAGGCTATTCATAATCACTCTTGGAGGACGACTGCATTAAGGAGTGCATCAGAATTATAAAAAACATACATGTAGATGTCAGATATAACAGGGACAGGAAAAAAAGTGGACCCAAAATTATAGAATGACCATGTATGTTCTACTTTTTTTCAAAATTTGGCTCGGCAACATTGGAATTGAAAGCGAGATCCAAAATATTGTGTTCTGTTTCTTGAAATATACAACATTCACAGAGCTAAAACTTCCTCAGGTTAGTTGTTAAGCACCCGTCTTTTAGATTTGGAGCACTTTTGATGCTTCAAACACAAAAAAATGCACAAAATGACAAACGATCTGATCTACCTTTAAATGTAATGCAAGTCACCGTGGAATTGCCACGGTGGACCCTTTGGCCTAAAAAAAAAAGTGTTATGTTGGCGTAACCCGACCGACCCTAAAAATGCGGCCGACCCTGGATATTTTTTTTTTTTTTGAAGGGAAGAAATATAATTAAAATCTATAGAAATGAATTTTAAATACGTTTTGAAACCATTTCTGACCGTTTCTCCTCAATTGTATGACGATAGCGCGCGTGGAACTTTGGAGTGCACAATGTTTTGCACCTTCCTCTCCATGACACAACGAACATGCAGAAGATCGCGCAGGCCTAGCCTAGTGCGCGTGCGGAGATCGATGCACCATGCATGCATGATAGATGCACATGTACGTGTACAGTACATGTATAGCCTCGTCCTAGACTGTTGCACGGCGCGAACTGCTACATACACTATTGAAAATACTTCGCTATTTATTCCATGTTAAAAAAAATAGTTCATTATAATATAAATTATTTTAATTAATTTTTCACTATTTAACACGATAACAATTGATATATATTTATTCTAAAAATGGTAAACTATTCTGTAACCCCGGCGGCCGACACGACCCGGCCGCGCCGCGCCGGCCCCCGGCCCGTGGTTACGCGCGTACGCCGTCGCATCATGGCGCCCGGTACCGAAGCGTACAGTGTTTCCATCAAGGGCAAATGGGGATCTTCGGTCATTTAATGCGGATAAATTTGAGTCTAGAGCTGGGGGTAATCGCCCAGAGCTGTGCCGATGGTGTACAAGCGGGTTACACCGTGCTAAACATACAAACTTCAAGGAAGAATCGGGTCCATATAAAGATGTCGATGCCAGATGAAACGGCTAACATTTTGTCTGATTTTGGATTCCGCTTTTTGATATGTACCTTTGATATGTACCATGCCTTCCTTAAATTTTCCTCGATCTGACAGTTTTGTTTTTATTTGCACAAAAACAAGAAACTATAAAAGAAAGACATAAAAAGTGAAATAAATGTCACTCAGAGTTTAAAAGTATACAAATAGTAGTCTTGTTTTCTTTTGTTATCGTGTACTACTACCGGCTTAATGTCATTTTCGTTGCTGGGATTTAAAAAAAAAAAAAAAAAAAAAAAAAAAAAAAAAACCCGACCGACCTACCCTATTTTTTCTGGCCCGTTACGCCAACATAACTTTTTTTTTTTAGGCCTTTGCTGCAGACAAATAGTCAATGGCTCAGTTTACCTTGAGACTTTGATATCGATATATGCAACCAGCTATAAAGTAACCTTGGTCCATAGCTTATACATATACAAGTCTGTGAAAAATGACCTACTCCAAAATGGATGAAGCATTTGCAATTTCACTCCCCCAGAAACGCTCTTCTTGAATCAAAACGTTTACCCTTTTTCTCATATTTTTTTTTTTTAAACAACAGATGACTGAAGTTGCAAAAAGGAAGTTTTGAGTTTATACAGATCACAACACATGATTTTTTTTTTTTGGTAAAATGGAAATCGATGATAAGTAGGTGTTCACCTAAATACCGGTAATGATTTCCTGGGTTGAAGATAAACTAAAAAATGTTGTGTGCGCTTTCAGAGGCGGCGGAACTGGGGGGGGGGGGGGGGGAGGGGGAACTCCCCCCCCCCCCCCCCCCCCCCCCCCCCCGATTTCCCCGAGTGCCCCTTTTGCGGACATAAATGTGCCCCCACGAGATGAAAACAAAACTGGCCCTACAATTTCAGATAATTTTGTTCAGTAACCATTTCCCAAAATGGTATAGAGAGTTCTGATATGAATGAGGAATAGGAAGCCTAAACCCCAAAACCCTTTCATTGCATGCGCCCTGAAATGTGTACATACTGCGTAGTTCGCACAATGGCCGGATTGAAGGGTGCCCCCTATTTTGGAAGATGGTACCTTGTCTGTTGATGGAATTTGACTAGTCACGGTGCCTATTGAAATATGATCTGACTGTTGGTGACTAGCCTGTGTAAAAGGCATGGCAAGGGAACAGGATTGACGTGTCGACTGTCTGTGACTGATCAAACAACAGGAGGGTTTAAAGTGAAGAATTCAAGTTAACCAACCGTGTACAGGTACAAGGGACGATTACATTCTCCATTTTGTAATGAACTGATAGTCGTGTTGATGATGAACTGCCAGAGATTTTTAGCAATGAGGATGATTGATATGAAATTAACAATGGTGATGACAATGATGCTGGTCATGATCATTGAAGGTATAGTCCATCATTTGTAATTTGTGCATTTTGTTCGTTTGGAGCAACAAAAGTGCTCAAGATCTAAAGAAGGGTGCTGAACAACTAAACTGATGAAGTGTCAGCTCAGCTTCAGCTGTATATTTCGAGAAAAACAACATTTTTTTCTAGGATCTCGATTTCAAATCAAAACTTGCTGAATCATGTTTTGAATTGGGCCTGAATTCAGCGTCCGAGACACGTTCTTACTGAGCCGATTGCAGCTACACGATGTCGGGCACTGATCCGACGAATTAAAGCCACTGCGCGCGGGTGTGCGTCGAGCCAATGCTTGCGCGCGCTTCACCGAATAACAAAACGAACTACTAATTTGAATTTCCTACGGTGCTTCTTAAGAAGCACCGTTGGAAAGGCCTTCTTTTGTTGATTTCTTCAAAATGACAGCTTGCCAGAAAGAATAATTTCACAGGGAGTTAAGTCCCCTTACTATCTTTCAACCAAGTATCTTTTTCAACAATAATTACGCCAGTTACTTTTTAGATAGCTTGGACTCTGGCTTTAAACCATACATCACCCCCGCATCTGTGAAAAGGGACTGGTCTGTGACTAACATGCATAATTTTACAAAGTAGGTTACGTTGGAAAGCAAAAGCCTATATATTTTCAACAAAGCCTTTCAATTTGGCCGTAGGATGGTGCCACTGAATTATCGAGCAGCTAGGGGTCATGCTAAATAATGGATCAGTTCCTGTTTCGTGTTCCATTACTCTATCGGTTACCGACAACAATGCGGGTACCGACCTGCGAATAAACAATGCCGGATCTGATGTCTTAGCGTGGGTGTTTTCTGATCCATCTACCCCCAGCATCCCCCACCACAATTTGTGTTTAAAGATGTAATGTTAGTGCTCTACAACAATTTTTTTTTTTTTTTCTGACAAATTTTCATCTTGTATGTTTCATTTTTAGGGGGAAAAAACAACTTTTTCTATTATGGGAATCAAATGCATAGGCATTTCCTCATCCACCCCCACTTAGTTTTTGTCCTGTACTGTTCGTGTTCTGCATCAAAATCCATTAAATTTTTTCCAGGTAAATTCTTATCATGTGTGTTTTATTTGTATGTAAAAATATTTTTTTTGTTTTTTTGTTTTGTTATAATTTGGGTGTTCTGTAAACCTCTGAATAATGCTTTTATTTTGGATTGCTTTCGTGCACGAACAGATTTGCTCTCAAGCAGACTGGTTCCCGGTCTCTACGTCATTCCATTCTTAAATGGAGGCGGGAACCAGTCTATCCTGCGAGATCTGAATTATCGGGCTACAAATAATTTGATATTTGTAAAGTAATTGGTCCATGGGTAGATTTGTTCCCCTTTGAACACCATTACATTGGACACGCAACAAACATAAAAATTATTAACTCGAAATAGAATGTTACAAATATGGACAGTGCATCTTTAATCTAGTATGAAGCTAGGTCACGCTGCTAATGGTGTGTCGCCACACGTTGGCAGTTTACGTCAAACTAAATTTGTCCTTCGGTGGGAACTACACGTATAATTGAGTGTGATATTTTGTGCCTGGGGCAAAAAGGAATATGTTGAGAATAGCGTGATGGCAACTTCGGGTAAAAAAAACCCACAATTCAGTATACAAAAGAATGAGGAACTATTTGAAGGGAAAAAAGTGTATAAAGGTTTAACGGCCGATTAGTCATTCTATACATTTCAGGTCCAAAGTGAGACTTTTTTTTTCTGTCCCTGTTACCTTGGTACTTTGTAATTTACCATTCAAGTATCATTAAGAATGACTTCAAACGACTTTTCAGTTTTTTGGGTAGGTAGTTTGCTATTCGTAATCACTCTTGGAGGATGACTGCATTAAGGAGTGCATCGGAATTATAAAAATCACAGATGTCAAGTTTGAAATCTTCAAGTTCCAAATTACACATTGTAATCAAGACAATAATAATACACCACTTATGTTAAGAAAAACAATCAGTTAATTGAAGCGTACCTAGGATCATTTGCTTTTTGTGTATTTGTCTTTTCGTTTGGAGCAACAAAATTGCTTAAAATTAGAAGTAGCTTGCAAAAGAACTATTCACTTGTTGAAAGTTTAGCGCAGTGGATTCTATACTTTTTGAGAAAACAGAGAAAATGATGCACAAAACTTTTGGGTTTCATGTATGTAAGTGGTTTCTGTTGCTAACGAATGTAAAAAAAAATGTGCCTGCAGACACATTATTTTGAAACCACCTTCAATGTGAGTTTTCTTCCAAACGATACCATTTTAGGTGGAATAATTTTACAGGGTATTTGAAACCAGTCCTATCTTCATTTTGGGCAAGCTTTCTGTCATTAAATAATTACTTTTTTCAGGTAATAGCAAATGATCCTAAGTGGCTTTAAATATTAAAACAATTGAAATGTAACAAGCTTACCGTCAAAATCGACTGCTTGTCGTCTGTATATGTCTGTTAGTTGAATTAAAACATGAAACAAATGCAAGGATTATATAAGTCCGTTAGTTTCAAAGTACATTCGCATCATGCAATGTCATTCAGATAAATATAGGTACATTTGTACCTTTAAATAAAAAAGTTATAAAATTTGAAACATGCACATGTGCACACACAAGCAAAATAAAACACTATCAGAAGTTTTAAACAAAATCTTTAAATTATCTAATGTTTAAACCAGTAAGCGCTGGAGGCCGTGTATACACGCAAACGTTTTGCAGTATTCGGAACGGATGACAGATAAACACGCAGGGAGCGAGGCTGGAAATATCTGTCAGTGACTCACTGTCAGCGAGCGAGACCGGAAAGTATGAGTGTGCTGCCCGAGGGTGATGGCTTTAACCTGCCTGGCTTGAGGTCGAGTGAAAAGTAATCCTTCGCCTCGTTCCGTTCTTGTCAAAATAATCCCGGCGCAAACTGGTTAACAATTATCAACTGGCAAACTTCCATTTTTTTGGTTAAGATTTTTACTAGATTTTTAACAAATCGCTTGTATTAGTGGTGGAACAAAACGTTGACAAAACTGACACAAACTTGCATGCATAATATAGGTTTTGGGAAATCAAGGTGATTCAAGTCAAACGTCATAAATGTTTAACACGTAAATTAAAAGTTAGAAACAACACAATCAGTCCTTCTGATTTGAAATTCACAGGCGTGTGGAGAAGAGCACACCTGGATTTTTCTAAGCGTGCAATTTTTCTAGGTGTGTGATTTTTCTATATCACATAACTTGTTCTAGGCTGGTGATTCAGTAGTCAAGCTGGGACTGAACAATATGGTATTTTTTTAATGATAATCATCTTGGTTTTTATTTTCTTCACCAACAGATTTTTTTTATCACAGTTATGAAGTATAATTATGCCGTAAATGTATGTGTGCAGTACAGAGGGATTCAGGTGTGCAATTATTCGCACTTCTCACGAAGCTTTTAGGCGTGCGATGGCTTGGGGGTGTGATCGCACGCCTCAAATCAGAAGGACTGCACAATTATGAGAGAAAGAATAACAACAAATTGACAAAACTCAAAACCATGTCTGTATTTGAAGCTCAGATGCACTGACATCTTGTCTTGCCCAATTTACCCAGTTTAATACTAAAAATTACTCACTGTGTGAAGATCCTGATGCTGATTGCAGAAGAAATGATGAGACAGACAGACGTGGGGGAAAGGAAGAAAACAAAAAATAAGAGGCTTATTAGTATGACATTTATGATAAATTCATGAATTAATAAGTACAGAGGGGAATAAACAGGGTTAGGAAGGCCTTGTAAAGCTGGTCCCTGAGTGCACACGATTCTAGTCGGCAACTGATACAGAATGGCTATTCACTGGAAGTCTTTTTAAAATAATAACAGGTTATGCAGGGTTTTTAACTAAGATCAAAGCGCTTTACATTATTATTACTACCCTTGCTCATTCGGCCATTTAAACATTTCAAAGCCAATCTCAGCTCCCTGGGGAGTATACAGCTCCATGCTGCCTCTTAGGCACAAGGAAGCTAATTCAATCACGATAGCCATCTCTGCCCTCACAGGTACCCATTCACTCCTGAGTGGGGAGAAGCAATTAGTGACAAAGCGCCTTGCTCAAGGGCACACGCACCAAGACCCCAGGCTGGACTCCAACCCACAACCCGCAGCTTTACCCGCAGACCACGAAGTCAATGCTCCAGACCACGAGGCCACGGCACTCCACTAAATGCATCTGGTCTTCACAATGGGCCGGAATTATCCCATTCATTGCGTTATGGGGTAATCCTATATGATAGCACTGCCCGGCTCACAAGTGACAGTCTGTCAGTCAGTCTGCCTGTCAGTCTGTCAACGAGATGCCTACAAAGAGAACGCTAGGCTGGCTCAGCCAGATTTAGCACTTTCACCCCAGAGGGTTTCGAGACAAATTCACAAGCTGACTTGGGTTGGACTTGAACCTACAACCTCCTGCTTTCTAGTACAGATGTCTTACCACTCATCCACCATGCTTGACGGGATCGGCTGGCTTGCTCAAATATACAGCAGAGGGTACCGCAACCTTAAATTGGATGATTTTTTTCGTTGGGCATGTCAGGGAAACGTAAATTCAATATTGTTTTTTTTGCCCTTCACTGACATTATTTCATAAGCACGGTATACACTCAGTTTTTGCCGGGATTGGGAGAATACCGGTAAATTCACGAGCTGTTGTCATGGGAACAGTAGAGGACATTTTTAATGAATTAGAAAAAAATGCTCTAAAACAAAGCTGGAATCCCAGTGTAGAACTAGTAGCTTCTCATTTTATCTTTTCAATAACTTTACTGACGAAGAAACATTTCTTGTAAACATGTAAAGCTTACGTGTTGTCGAGAGCAAGGCATTGATATGCGTGCAATTGACCTTTCACCGTTTGCGAGTTAGCCACGCCCCTTAGACAACGTAGTTTTTGTACACTAAGTTTTGTTTGTCTAAGATTTTGCGCGTTCCGCGTCCATTTGTATATCATGTAGCAGTAATTGGACAATATTTCACAAGCTGCATTGATGCAATTCTAACGCGATTCTACCGCGATAGGTCAATGGACCAATCAAAAGATGGAAAACCGGTCCATCAGGGAAAAGAGAATTCGCTAGATCCTGCATAATTTTGAATTCAATGCCAACTTTTCTCACATCTCAACCAGACTTGACAGTGAAAACATGTTCAGCCTCGGGCAGCCCCCTGCCATGTAATCTCATTTCAATGTCTCCCACGCACACGAAGCCAATTCAACCGTGATACAACATCCCTTAGTTTAAAGGTAAAACATACAACATTTGCTTTTGCTGTAATTTTCAGAAGTGGACGGATTAAGGGGTTAGTATTTTGTAGCGAATATTGTTGCACTGTTTGAAGTTTTGTGTTCATTGATGCCAGAAAAATCGAAGAAAAAAAATGCTGTTCCCGTAGTCTGGTTCCCTGACCCTACTTCAGATAAAACTCTAGACGTTGGGAACTGTTAGGTCAGGGAACCAGACTAGCTGGCTTGTACCCGTTCACTGATGTGCAACCAATTGAGACAAAATGTGGACTAACCAAATTTGGTAAATTGGAGGCAGTATTTGAAAAAAAAAAAAATTCCAAAGATGGTCAGCTGACCATCGTTGGAAATTGACACCAAAATTCCACTTTTCTAGAAAATGACAGCACACCAGGTGCCATGATTACATAGGATGCTTGAGACTATTATTCACTTACAGTCAAGTAAGGTATTTCATAAAAATATAGTTTTTTTTGTTTTTGATGTTTGCAAATGTTACCTTTAATATAACAAGAAAGACGCACCCTATGATACAATACAAGGATAAAGAGACAGGACATAACCGGTTCCCTCAATATCAAACATACAATCAATCCGCCCACGATGAAATATAAAATCAATTACTTCGAGGTCTGCGTGCATTGTCAAACGTGGGTGGGGCTCGAGTGACGACAGTATTAGCCATCACACCGTGTAAAAGACAACACGCAGGCTGTTAATATTTCAAAATGACCACTAGAATTAGATAACAAATAACACACAGTGGCTGACTCATAATTTTTTGTAGAAATTTTTTGGAGAGCGAATTTCAAAATTAATCACATTCTCCAAAAATGACATGAAAAAATGTATTCCACTTGATAATCGTTCAGTGTATGTGCAATACTACCTGCATTAACATAAATTTTTATTTCAAGTAGGGCCTACATGTCATATTCCGTAAGTGAAAAATTTATGGTTAGAGACGCATTGTCTGTGCCTTTCAACAAATTCAATTATTTTTCTTTTGATGAACAAATATAACCAGGTCTGCCTGCGAACGGGCTGGTTTCCGGTCCCCATATTATCGATGCCGATAGGAGGTGGGAACCAGTCGATCCTACAAGAACCAAATTATTACGGAGCTGTGATAATTCAAAATTTATACATGTAACTGGGCCATTCCACTGTTATGAAAGGCAGTGTTATGTTCATATACCAGAGCCAATTAACCATGATATCTAATTAACGATTCAGAGAAATGATCCAAAACTCCTAGTCTGTAATCTCCTTGACCATTACTAGACAATGGATGTATTTTTATAAGATTTGAAAAAATGTTTAAGGTTTATTCACTGAGTTTTTAAAAGCTCTGTTATGGACATTACATAACGCTTCCATAGCTCACTGTGGGGTAATTTCTTACTGATGTCTCATTCAACATGTTCAAATGTGAATAACTTTTGTTATGCTAAGAAAAATAGATAAAAATAAAAATCTGTTTTGAGGAGTAAGAGTCAGAAACAGCGTAGAAACTACATCTTTAAAACCAACTAAGAAAATAGCAAACAAATAAACAACCCATCAACTAGTCCAACAAACAAAGTTGAACAAAGCTGAACTTTATTTCAAAGACAGCCCCAGGAAAATTCAAAGTACAACTAAGAAAGAATTCAACTGGAGAAATACAAAAATACAAATAAAGAAAGAACCAAACAAACAAACAAATAACACTAACAAACAAACAACCCAAGGAACAAATAAACTCTCCATATCAACCATAAGTGACATCAAGACATTGATCAAATGAACATGACTACCCCCCCCCAGCAAGTCAATAAATGGCAAAATATAACAAATTTTGTCTTGTACTGGAGAACCAACAGCACAACTATAAGATGTCTGAATCCAGCACGGATGGGTTGCAGTCGTTAATCAACACAGTCACTCATAGAGGGGGATTTTCTCACGCCCCACTGGGAAAGATTTTGATGATTAAGAGCTCCCGACAGTGTCTGGTGACACCTCAGGGATGACGGGACACATGTCTCAAGAGGATAAAGAAGACGGCTGTCAAATGGATGAGGGAGACCTAAAGTAATGACAGCGTCTTTTTGTGGACTTAAGAGGAGAGTGCGTACGATGATAAACTGGAAGATACTGTTTCTAGCAAACCCACGCAATGGGTGGCGCTCAATGAGGGAGGTGGAATTGCTGGTGTTTGGACAGTACAGGGACTTTTGGGGTGATAGTCTTGGGTCAATCAACCGCCAAATCGCTATCACAGTGCCGGAATCTTGTAGCTGCGCGCATACACTCTTGTTTTACTATACTCTCGAGGACAATGCTTTGTGTTTCCCTTTGTAATCATGAAGGAATAAGTACACACTCTCCCATAGACTAAGCACACAAACTTACTTCACATTTCCAACAAAAGACCCAACTCCTGAGGACTGAAAGGATCTGTTGTTCTCCCTTTGTGTGTCGGTCCTCGGGGGTTATGTAGAACACGTACACCCATTTTGCCTTATTTACCGGTATGCTGCGGGCGTTCAGCACCTTGCACATTTTGCTACGAACCAAACTCCAAAATTTCAGCCAGTTACATACATGTACAAGATGCTACCAAACTGTGCAACTTTAGGGCAGCTTTTTTGTCGTACCCGTATGTAGTACGAGTTCGACCGAGAATTAGACAGTATTTGCCTGTAGAAGTATCGCATGCGCACGAGTTTCCCCCATTTTTCAGGGGCAGATTCAACAAGATTCCCAAAACATTGTTGTGATAGCGGCTCATGGGTGTATGGTAGTGATTCGCTGTGATAACGCGCCCCTCTAGCACAGGGTGATTGCAAATATACACATGCACAACACCGTTTCGAACCAAGACTAATGCGGTAAGGTACATAAAAACATGTCTGAAATTGAATGTTGTCACATTTTTAAAACATTTTTTTCACCATTTCAATCCCAATGAAAATTGGCAATAACACAGAAACAAGTTTTTCCCTTTATATTTTCTCAAGAGTATCCTCCATGTAAATTATCTGCATCTTTTGTTTTTCAAATAAACCACAAGGCGAACCGGCTGGGTGCAATATAATAATTTTTCAAAGTTGAACAAAGAAATCAACTTACATTTTCTGTTTTTTTTTTTTTAAAGCTATTTTTGGATCGGTTTACGAGTAACATATTCTTTAGATATAAAACAAAATATAACTATTCTTTTTTTTTTAAAATAGTAGGGAAAACACACACCAACAACAAACTTCTTGTACTGCCGAAATTATTTTACGTCATATGGTGGAAAACTGTGCAAAAACTGTACGTTTAACTCCAAAGCATTTACATGCACTATAGGGCCTACAATT